TATGAGGTGAATGATGAAGTGTGTAAAATAAACTGGTCCATCAACCACTCAATTTCAGTTCATGATCTTGCGAAGACTAAAATATGTTCTCATTTAAAGACCTCTTACCACATTATTTTTTAGTGGCGTTATATTTGGTACAAAGAGGGAAGGCCAGAAAATACAATGATAATATATCCAAGAAAATGCAAGTTACCTCACCTTGTACACTCAGGAATTTCTAGTTTGGGTGGATTCTTATCCTTGAATTTACCAGTGACGTTTTTATAAATCTTCACAAAAGAGGACTGCAAATGTAAGATTTCATAGTGTTATGGCAAAGACTCCAGAATTAATTTTAAAAAGTTTGGACAGGAAGGTGTACGTTTTACAGACGAAATCGCCTTCACTAAATGCCACTTTTCCTAAACGGCCTGTTTGTGTTGCCTTGGAAGACCGTGCGTTTCCTAGTCCCTTGGCCTCATTATTCCGTGTGGCCTCCGCGTTTCGGGTCACGCGGTCCGGCCGTTCGCCCGGAATACGTCACCGAAAATCATTGACCGAGAAGGCCTGGAAACACGCCGTACAGGGGCAAGCAGGCCATGCGTAGGTTCACTTTTGTGTTATGTCTAAAGAAAAACCCTTCAGCAAACCCTTCACAACTGCAACGAATACTAAAATGCCTCGCAGCTGCCAATAAACCTTTCCAATTAACTTGCAGACAATTTATAACAAACATATGAATTTACTGTATCATAGTCTCGTTGTTTTGTCGGTTTTGTTCTGAACAGGATATTTTTGCCCATTTGCTTCCTCTGTTTTGAAACTTTGAAACGGACAAATATTTTAGAGACTATTAGCAGTCAACTCTCTCAGCCGTATTTTGCTTCGTTGACTACAACATCACTGAGTGAAAACAAACAAACAAACAACAAAATTTAATGTCCGGTTTATTTACCGATCTTGCTACTTTATTTCTCGGGATATGGAGCTTATTTGGCTTCTCGTCTAGTTTGTCCAGGCCACTTCCAAGGGAATTACTAAGTGCTTTGATGTCGAAAAAGATGGAACCAATGTTGTGAAATCCTCCGTTCAAGGTCTCCTCTGATGATACTAAAACTGAAAAAAAATTGAAAAAAAAGTGTAAAGGGTTGTATCAAGAGCCATAATGGTTCTTGGTTATTTTAAAAAAGCCATTTACACGGTTTGCCCGATAGTTCCTTGCAAAGCGCACATAACAGGAACCCTAAGTAATGTACCCTTGTTATAACGAACAGATTTTCCTGAGTTCCCCGTACCGCTAAGCTGCCTCGTACCCAAAAGTCTCTCTCTCGATTAAAATTTGCGCGCAAAGAAAGGCGGGAAAGGGAATACGGGCGACACGGCGCTTCGCCTGTCCGCTTCGCCTGCCTTCTTTCTCCTTCCCACGGTCCACTACGTTTCGTCACTAGTAACTCGCGTTTCGCGCTCGCTCCTAAGCGCATGAGGAGGTAGGAATTTTACCATAAAATCCTTGCCATGTACAATATATATGTTGAAGAAAAAGGGGGACTTGTATTAATTCTTCAGAAGGGCAAAATTTAAAAACAAGGACAAAGAAAAGGACCACGGAGTAGGGTTTACAGTAAGGAAGGGGGGTAAAGGTCGGGCTTAACCGTAAGGTTCACCGTCGAAGACAAATATTAGCCATTTAGTTTTGACTCTACCATGCCAGTTTGGAAAGTTTCAATGATGGATATGCGCTTTTTCAGAAGTAATGTTCGTATACGTCTCCGTGGCGCAATCGGTTAGCGCGTTCGGCTGTTAACGTTAACGTCACCGAAAGGTTGGTGGTTCGAGCCCACCCGGGGTCGCTATTTTATTTTAATTTGTGGGATAGTAAAAAAATTGCCTGTTCCTTCAACTGTGATATACTGCAGTGCAAAGCATAAGATATGATGTACAAGTTATGAAATGACCAAATGAAATTATCGATGTGCGACTCTATGAAAGACGTTAGAATTTTTTCTAAGGAGAATCACCACCTTTTTAGAAATGTCAGTCTTTATAAATGTGCAAATAAGTGATAGCTTTGGTTTTTGTACTGTTATGCTCACGGGTTATACTTCTACGCACCTGATGGGGCCATTTTCTTTCCAAGTTTTCCTAAATGATAAAAAAATGCATCAGCATGAGACCTTTCAATCAGATTCATGTTTCAGACCAGAACTACAGTTTAACAGGAGAAAATTTAGGTGCGATGATTTTCCGAAATCCGAAGACCTCTGAAAAAGTTTGAGGATTTCAGCTAAGGCAAAGGATTAAGAGCTACCACTTTGCTAAAAAAACACGTCTTGCCTCTTGAGAAAAAATTGACAAATGTAAAATAAATTTACATGTAAATTTACTCGTTTATTACATCCACTTTGAAATCACTGGCTATCCGTGCAATCTGATTGGCTCTCAGCAGTGTGATTTATTCCTAAATCGCACCATTTTTTGCTCTAAATCGTATCTTTTCCAAATCGTGTCATTCATGTTCTAAATCGCATCATTTCAGTTTTAAGTGGCACCATTTTTGTTCTATATCGCATCATTTCTGTTTCGAATACAAAATGAGATGTAAAAGCCTTTTTGTTTCGGCCTTTTAACAAACCGGCTACTTGATCAATAAAATATTAGTACTAACTAAATTCTGCGATTTCAAAATGGATGTAATAAAGTGGTAATTGAACTTCGTGTCGTGCAATTTTGGTCTGAAATCATACTTGTGATTTCAAATCGAACTCGCGCTGCGCGCTCGTTCGATTTTGAAATCACTCATATGATTTCAGACCAAATTGCACGACACGAAGTTCAATTACCATTACAAATTTCCATGTACACACAATTAGGACCTGTTTACATAGAGGTGGGGGACCGCGAGTAGGTGAGGTAACCCGCCTGTCCATATAATCTCACATTTTAATTTGATCACGTTTATATGAACGGGTGACCCGCCACATGTTACCTCACCTATCTGGGGTCACCCACCTCCATGTAAACAAGCCCTCAGAACAGATTTACGCATGTAAAAAAAGCACTTTATTCTCCAGGGATTTCACATTGCCGCCGCATAAAAAGAGTCCATGGCACATTGCCGTAGACAAACAAGTCTTTTAAATCATCGAGTTTTACGAGCGAAATTTATAGCTATTTTTAAGATAAAGATATATACGCGGAATTAGAGGTGCTGTGTTAATCCATAAACTTACTTTGTAACCATAATGACATAGATTCCTTTATGTAGTGTTTAGGTTTGCGGCCGCTGTAATCGCGGGCTTCAACATCAGCACCTTTGACAAAAAAAGAAAAAAAATCAGGGAAGAAATCGTTCACAAGAGTGATCAATATCATATATTTTAGTCATTTTCTCCACGAAATATACCCAAGAGCCATAACTTATGTGGAATCCCTATTATGGTTCCTATTATCAAACGACGACTATTTCATGCCAAGAAAAATAAAACGTACCACAGTCCAGAAGAGAAATAATGATATTCTCATGGTTATGAATTACAGCGAGATGCAGAGCAGTGTATCCCTGAAAACAAATCACAGTATTAAGAGGAGTACCTTTAAGCTACGAGCGAACAATAGCCTGTACGCAGAGGTTGCTTTCTTTTCCTTTTCGAAAATCGATGAGCACGCGAACGCCCCACTCCCTTGCCCTAGCGGTCAAAAAATCTCCCGCGCGCGCTCGACGATCTCCAAGGGGAAAATAGAGGGTTTCTGAACTGGCTAGCATAACAACTCAGCCAAAGGTATTGGCTGATATGATAACACTTAAAGAGATCAATCTTAATTATCTCGACTGTCACAAAAACTTTAGGCACCGATTGTTTTATAATCAGCTTTTCATAATCACTGTTTATTTTTCTCAAAAAACAAACAATATTCCTCCAGTTTTTTTACTTATCTGCTGACTGCAGATTAGTGAATAATGTTTAGGGTGCTCTTATTTCCAAAATTAATGTAGGCTCTCAGTCAGTGAGAATACAAGTGATGAATACAATTTATAATTATAATCAAAGACTATTAATTGCCTTACGTATGGGCTTCGAAGTCTAAAATCGACTGTTGAGATAGCCTGTTCCAGGCGGCGCTTAGAAGTAGAGCTCGGAGGAAAAAACCAGGGTAGGCTAGAGAGGAAACAGTCCCCAGTCCCAGTCCCAACCCCAGTTCCCCCTCATATTTTCCCCAGCTTGTTTTCCCCGCGTACGATTCAACTTGCTCCCCACCATCTGAATGCTGCCTTCCTGGAACAGGCTATTCCTGACAAAGATAGACGGGAAGAAGAAAGAGAAAAGAGTCTGGGTATAAGTTTGCTCAGGACTGCCAACAGTCGAACCGCTCTATTACGAGGTATATAAAAATAAAAAAATGTCCGAGATGTCGGGGGAAACTTTCTCGTCGTCTTTTGCCCCTTGTACATGTCGAACCTCCATGCGCAACCACCTCTTGTAAGCGATCATCTATCCAAAACACAAAACCTTTTAGTTGGAATCGCGACCGCCACCTCTTTTTGTGGAGGCAGTTTTATAATTTTCCATTGTTTACAAGCTCTTGCAAGCGACCGCCCTACTTGAGACCCGCCTTTTGTTCGAAACATGTGCTACGCAGCTCAAAGAATAGGAGGAACTTTCAGTGAAAGACGGAACTACACATATCGTAACTTAGACAACGCAAACAACGAATTCTCTTACAAAAGGTTTATCAAGACCACTACTCAGAAAAGATACCCTTTGGTTCCATTCTCCTAAGCAACCCAGCTCCCTTAATTGACCATTAAATCTTCGCATTTCGGGTGGTACAGGAGGTCCAAATGTATTTTAGTTAAAGCTGATTAAGGGAAAAGCATGCTTTTAAACAAGTACTTACCCCCTTGTGTCGGTGCATGTAGTTACCAACCGGAAAAAAAAAACAAATTAAAAGGTGGTTAGAAAAATACAGGTCCACAAGAGAGAGTTATTCTGCCTTGAGGTACATTAACAATATTTTTAGCAGAAAAGGGAAGCAAAGCATATTCCAAGTTTTTACCTTCTTTACGATGGGCGGTGTATCCATAATTTCAGATCAGGATTATTAAGTCGAATAAAATAGAAAACAAAGAAGTAAGTGAACAAGACAAAACAAATTCTCTCATTGTTGAACAAAATCATCTAAGGAACACAAAAAAATTTAAAGTTGGATGTAGAGAAACTCTCACCGATTTTGTATTCACTTCCATTCCTGTGTTTAATAATATTTCAGCCACATCTTTTCGTCCTTTTTTCGCGGCCCAATGTAATGCTGTCTGTAGAGTGTACATAGAAGAAATGCAAAATAGGATGGGTTATTTTTGAACTGTCAAACTTTGGAAAATTTAGGTGAAATCTTTAAATCTGGAAAAGGCAATAATTTCGATGTGTTATTCAATCAGAAATAGGACAAAATAAAGAGCATACTTACGAACTAGTTTGTGAGGTAAAGCCAAGCCAAAAAAAATAGAGAAAGAAGAAGAAGTCAGTAATAAGTTGACTTGAATTAGTATTTTTATTTTATTTATATTTCATGGTAGTTGTCCTTGCTTTAGAGTTTTTGCCCCTAAGTAGTCTAGGTGAAAACACAGTAGTGCAAAGTTGAACAGCAACATAAACAACACCCCGTCCCTGTTATCCCGAGAAACAAATCGTTGTTTGAGTACCCATTCACAAAGAAAATCTTGCGCACTTGACAACACCTTTGTCGTTGATAGCCTGACACACTTCAAGTTTCTGTGTCCTAATTTTTTTAGGAAATCACATGAAAGAATTAGTTATAAGTTCAATACTTACCCCCTATTTGCAGAACATGGCAGAAAATCATAAAAAAGGAAATAAACAAAACAAATGAAAAAGTAAGTTTGAATTCATGTTAGGCTTGAGGTACAGGGCTAACAAAAGGCTTTTATGTTCATTTGTATGCTGGGTATACATTGAAAAGTATCTCAAATCTCAAATCTCCAATCTTTATTTTAACACGGTAAAAAACTTTGACGGGACGCTCGGGAGTGTATTTGTTATTGAAAAAAAAAACTGGATATATTGTTGCCAGCATGTTCACGTTTTTAGCATAGTCTTGTGAACAGTGTGTGATCTTCAGAAAGCGAATTATGTTTAGGACTCGGCTTGGTTCATTTGTGATGGCAAATATAGGGATCCGGCAAGTATGTACTTCTGGATGTAATGTATCAAACTTACGAAATGATTGAAATTAACTCACCATAACAAAATCCTTTAGCATCAAGAAGAAGAAGAAGGCGTTCGCAAAGAAGAAAGAAAACGTGTAATAAGTAGGATAAGCTGCATAGAAGAGTAAATTTCAAAGATGATTACCTTCCCAGATAAACTGTTTGAGGCTAAGTAAATTCAGTCAATTAGATCATGTGAAGGATTCAGGTATTATTAAACTAAGGAATTCATCCAAAGGAAATTAAACGATAAAAAACCCTAAACTTTTTAAATTAGGTCATCAAAGAAGAAGAAAATTGACAGGTACAAATAGTGTAGTGTAGTACTGCAATCACATCTAAATTCTAGGCAATCTATTGAATGACCCCAATCAGGGCGTGATCGTAAAATACACAGTACATCAACGACGCTTATTCGCTACACTAACGTTGAAGAAAAATAAAAAACCCGTACAAGCAGAAATTACTTTCGTTAGACACGGACTGGTGAAAGCAATTTTGCAGGCTTAATGATTTGCGGAACAAGTTACGGTCGTGAGCCGCTAGTTCTCGGTATAAGGCAGGAAAAAACAATCTTTGATCTGTGGTGACAACGATATACATCTCTTTCTAAGTTACCGACCTGTAAAGAGACTAAATTGGGATCCTGTTCCAATAATGCCACAATCCCAGGAAGGTTTCCTTGAATGGCCATTTGTTGCCATCGTTTTTCCAGGTATGTCACCTAAACAAAAGGAACAACCAGCTAATTAAGAACCATTTTTCGTTTGGTTTTAGTAACTTTCATCATTGTTACCCATTCAAAATATTTCTTTGTTTCCGATTTGATCATATCTCACGGTAAATGTAGTTTTCAGAACCAGCTCGGCTAACAAATGTAAAAGGCCGAGTTTATGACATCCGGTAAAATTATGTCAGTAACACAGGACAGGTTACGCTAGCTTTGCTTTCGTATGATCTGAAGCCGATTATGAAGAACCGAAGGCCGAAACCAATAATTCAAAAACGAAAGTAGATACTCTTATTCAATGAAAGGTTTTGCACTAGACCTAATTTTAAAAGCGAACCGGCGTTACCCCGAGAACGTAAGAATGCAGTCGAATTCATATGTCTATTTTGTGACATGAAAACGTTGGCATAAAACACATCGTTAATAGAGTTAATAGCCGTAACATACTGTTAATGGCGTGCTGTTTCTTCTTTCTTGAAAACTGTTTCCTGGTATATGTGAATTAAAGAAAGACATTAGCATCCAATGATTACTTTTGTAAGATCAAACCATGTCCAGTATAACAACCTTTAAAAATTACGTCTTGCGCTATTATGGACCCATTGTGAATATATGTATTTTCATATTTTTGAACCCGAAGGGAAAGATTTAACACGTGAAAGATCATTGCAGTTATGTACGCAGCCTCGAGCAAGTGCTTACTGGTACTGAACTGGGGTATATAACTACGATGGTTGATCTTCTCGTGTTAATTTACTCGTGTATTATATGAAACGTTTTCAGTTCCATATTGTATTTGATAAAATTCAGTTATTCATAAGTCAATTGTATTTACACTTACCGTTGAAAACATAATTTACCAATTTCCTGTTACTGCGGATTAGTTTTTGTTTTCTAACATCTTCCTTCATCAAAACTGACATAGTATATCAGCAAACCAACAGTTCCTATACGCTCTTCAATTGCACGAAGTTGATAAAGAAGTCTGAGTTCAATTGTCGATTAAAATTCAAATGATTCATACCGTGCCGAGTTTCAAGGCTTTTATTTTATAAGTGTTATAGATCTTGATGCATATTTTAAGACTTTTGTTAAGTGCTCATGTTTTTAGGGATTAGCATTTTCCACGACAACAGTACCCGACTAACCCGTTCCAGAAACTTTTCATGTGCCGTTTCCGCTTTAGTAATCTTGTCTTTATAGCCTCGGCCTCTGGCTAAAGACTCGACCCCGCAACATCCCCGCCTCACTTAATCGCCGCACGCGAGAAAAAATATCTCTGGTACCCAAGGTAAGCTCGACTTTCTCGCCTTATAATTTTTCTTATAATGTTTTTTTTATTGAGTGTGGTTCAAAATCGAAACCAAAGTAACTGTATATCCTCTGGCCAATCGTATCACGAGCTGACTGAAATCTCCTCGAAGCAAAAACAACTGAGTAGCCGGCGTCAAGCTAAGCGCGGGAAAACATATGCGAACTAGTCACCCGGATTGGTTTTTCTTCCCTCTAATTGGCTAAAAAAAAGTGAAAATTTTTAACCAATCACAAAGAGGAGCAACTAAATACGTTGGGTACCATTGGCTGGCTTCAAACCGAGGTGGACTGGGTACTAGTCAGTGCATTATCATCCACATAGTCAGAAAGAACACACCGAGCTTTAAAAAATCCATAAGTTTGGTGCTAATTGGTCAAATATTGAAAAACATACAGCCATTCAAAAACTTGAAAAATTTATTAAGAAATATATGGATTGCCGGGCGCTGGCACTGATGTTTTTTAATGATTGTATCTCGTCCAATATTGGCCCTGGATAAACACCAAACTTGGGAATTTTGCAGAGATCGGCGAGCTCTCTCTGATCATGAGGGTGTCGGTTTGAAACCTTAAAATAGGCCTTTTACCAATCTCGTACCCAGATTCTTCTGGCTTGCCCTGCTGACCGAAAAACCAGAAGACTCTGGGCAGGTGACTGGCCATTTGCACGATGATCTGTTTTTAATAGTGAGACATTATTTATTTCGTTTTTCTTTAATCTTTAAATTTAGAAATCCCATTGAGGTTTGAATAGAAAAGCTTTAATTTGCAAAAAAAAGCAAAACACTGAAGGATTCTGGTCGAAGTGGTAAAATGACGCCATCGTGCAAGTTGCCTCTCACCACAGGTCGCCCAAGCGCACTACTTAGCTAATTAATTATCCATACAGCAACAATTTATAAGACGTTGTATGAGAATTATCCCATTTCTCCATAATTGAGCGGAACGTGCATTAATTTTTGCCTGTAAAGTTTGCATTTAGTACTTACTTATGTTTATTTGTGTGTTGACTGCGTTTCAGGCCTCTTAGGATGTCAAGAACCCGAGAACAATACTAGTTCCTTCTAAGCTAATTAATTATTCATACATCAAGAAAATTATAAGACATTGCATGAGAAATATTCTTTGCTCACTAAGTTAGCAAAATGTGCATTAAATATCGCTTTGAAGCTTACCTCTCGCGTTTTCTTGTGTTTCTTTGTGTTCTGACTGCATTTCAGACCTCCTAGGCACTGTTTAATGCATTTTTTTAAGCGACTGTTTTTCACCAGTTTACAGTAAGGTTGGCAAACCTCTCTTGACTGGGTCCACTTGATCTCGGCGGCGATAGATTCAGTGACATTTGCGACATGGAGACAATTCCACCAATAGTAGATGTTCTGATAAATAACGTACATTTTCTATCATTCACATTGCCAAAATTCCCATTTCGAAGGTCAAAATCGACAACGAAGTGGACAATACGTTGGCGATCATGTTGGTGTTTAGTACCTTCGAAATGGGAAATTTGGCAATGTGAATGATGGAAAATGTGCGTTATTTATCAGAACATTTGTTTCTGGCAGAATTGTCTCCACGTCGCACGCAAATGTCACGGAATTTATCGCCGCCAAAAAATGCATTAAAATCCATTAAAAATGCCTACGAAGTCTGAAACAAGTCAGAACACTAAGAAAAACGAGAAACACTAAATGTCAGCTTTAAAGCGATATTCAATGCACATTTTGCTAATTTAGTGAGCAAAGAATATTTCTGATACAACGTCGACAACGTCTTATAATTTTCTTGCTCCTAGGAGGGACTAGTATTGTTCTCGGGTTCTTGACATCCTAAGAGGCCTGAAACGCAGTCAACACACAAATAAACATAAGAAAGTACTATTAAAATGAAAGCTTAAAGGGAAAAATTGATGCATGTTTCGCTCAATTATTCAGAAATAGGATAATTCCCCGGGGGGGGGGGGGTACTCCCATACATTACCTATACGGGTACCTGCCGCCCAACGGGGTCGTGATTTTGAAGCTCCTGATTTAGAACGGGGTATCCATTTCAGAGGCGTTTTGTAGAACGGGGTATAAAAAATTGTGGATCACGGCTTTATCTTCTGCTTAAAATTGTTGCTGATTAATGAAGCATTTATTTGATGTATAAGTCGAACAAATAAAGAAATATCTTTTTTAAAAAAACAGAGCTATTTCAATTTACAAACTTTCTAGAACGGGGTATAAAAAATTGGCCCATTTCTAGAACGGGGTATCAATTTTAGGGGAAATTTTTTTAGAACGGGGTACCAATTTGGAGTCCCGGGCAGCACATACCCACCCAAAAAATACCCAAAAGCCCCCCCCCCAGGAATAATTCTCATACAACGTCTTATAAATTGTTGCTGTATGAATAATTATTTAGCTAAGTAAGATAATGTCACAGTGAGCTTGGGCTGTCTGTGTTTTAACGTTATAGTATCATATTGCACACTATTCTTAATTGTAACTATCATTGTATGTAAGACCCTGAAGTAGGAAGGCCGTGCCTTCCGAAATATTGGTAACTTAAATATATATTCCCGATTGTAAAATCAGCTATGCTTCTTTCGTTCGATATGATAACTTACCATTCGCGTTTGACTTAAATCCGAGAGCTTCTAAAACCTGTAAATAAGAAATCACTAATTTGTAAAAATTTTCCTTTCTTGTAGTATAGTAAGCAGGGGTCTATTACAAATAGACAATAGATGCATTAGAGGTGTGCAGTCGAGAAACTTGAACATTATACTTTAAAACCATGAAGCCCTTTTACGAAGCCCTTTCCCATTTGTATAGTGGTTCCCGTAACAGTGATTTTGAACAAGCCCTGAATGCAGTCAACAAAGCACTATTGTTTTCGCCTGCGTAGCTGTCAGGAAATGTTATACGTGCTGATTTTACAGTGAGCAGGGTTCTATCTAGGATTTGTCATTTCGGGGAGAAGTGGCCGAGGTCCCGATCTTCCTAGAGGGGTAGGGGGCGTGCCCCCCGGACATTTTTTGAAATGAATATGCGCTGAGAAGCAATCTGGTGCATTTTGCCTGATTTTGAGACACAATTTTGAGAAATGGTACAGTGCCGTGTGCACTGACCTCGTCGAGTCTGGATGATTTTTCCGATATACTGTAGTTACATATACTGTATACGGTAAAGATATTAAACAATACTTTTTGTGGGGAAGCTGGGCATTTTTTTTTGGGGGGGGGGGGAAGCTTCTACCCCTCAAATACTCTAGATAGAACCCTGGTGAGTACTGCATATTCTATAGCTGATCATTATTATATTCTCTTTTGGGATCCAGTTCTTCTATTATGCTATTATGTCAAGTTGGTCCTTTCTTTCAAAACAAGGTCAGTTTCGAATTATATTCAATCTGAGGTTCTTTTTAACTAATTTACACCGATACAGTGTCCTATATCATTTGGCAGTAGTTTTACCAACTTGAAAAAAAGGAAATTTTTAAGAAGGGTCGTTTTGTAGTCATTAACCCCCCTCCAATATCGTACGATTCATTTATAAAGCAATTCTTTTTAACTTTTAACAGAGCCTTAATTAGGCGCTAATTTGTTAATTGTAATCAGTTAAACTAAGGAGATTACATTTTAATATAATTGCTTCAAAATTTTTGCTGCTAAATTACATCTCTCCGCATTCTCTGCATTCTTGATACAGCATTTTGACGGCTACTTTGTTTTCTTCATTGACTGTGCAGTAAAATTATGAACAGTCAAAGGAATGCATGAATAAATTCTGACCGCTTGGGAACTTGTTAAATAGCATGATTAATACACAAACACAGGTAGCTTAAACTTGACATATGCGACGTTACTACGCGGGTATTGAAAGCAAACTGATAACCATGTATACATATATGGCTTACTAGCTTTTGCACTTAATCATTTCCTAGGCAACATGCTTCAAAGCTGTATCGCTATCCTGAACGGTCTTTAACTTTTATTTTATTACTCCTCAGGCTACGGTGAAAAGGTGTCGCATATGTAGACTATGGAACATACATGTTTCGGGGAGAGAAAGAATTCCATTAATTCTCTTCATTACCTTAATCGCCAATTCTTGCTTCAGTATATCAGTCTAATCTTGCAATCTCTGTATATAAGAGCTTTAGTAAGCAGCAGCGTGCTGTTTTTGTTTTTGGGCTGGTTTACTGTGAACCGGCTCGTGATTTCACCTTCACTTTCGTAAATGTATGGTCAGTTTGTTAAAATGCGTTATTAAAGGTTTCCGGCAGCGGTCATTAACTGTATGTCTAAGAAGTGTGGCCGGTAAAATTCGTGCAAAGTAACAGAACCCAACTATATTTAGGTCTCGAAAAAATGTGACAAAATATAAAAGGAACATGAACAGCCTTTATCCGTTAATACTGTGCTTCTTTACGAAATTTGATTGCATGCTCAGCAAGGTTTGTCAAGTTGTGCCAACACTTTTTGTTAATTAAGAGAGTTTACTAATCGAAGCCCTGATTTCAATACCTACCGCTTTCGACGGACGGAACATCGTGGAAAAATTAAGCCCGGCTGACTTATGAGATTAACAAACTTGGGTCTTGTTGCCACTTTAAGAGAACTTATGTTAGGTATCGTTGTTTTTAGAATCAAGCTAAGAAAACGTTATGAAGCCGCTCGTGTGTGCATTTGATTAAAAGTTTCCCAAACTATTTTTAACATGTTTACTAACGCTTCACGTGAACAATAGGGTACATTGTTCCACAATTTTATCCATGTAAATGGCGGGGGTACAAAGAATTGAAGAGAACAAGAAATAGACCAAAAAAAGAATTTTAATAATAAGCAACTATAACTGATTTATTGTGAATAAGATGTAAGAGTAAATATAACAAAACTCAGCAGAAATTCCTGGCTGTTAAATTCAAGGAAGTTTGTGAACATTCAAGTAGGCTGCCATGAAGAAATTACGGAATGTAAACACAGCTCGTGTCTGCTGTATAAGAACTCACAAAAATAATATGTGTAGAAGAAAATGAAGTTAGAAAAAGTAATATGTCGCATGCATTTGAGTGGAGTTTCACCGGGTTTTTGTTGCAGTGTAAGAGCAAGAGATAATTAATGCCAGTCAATGTAATGTGATGTAGCGTAATGTAATGTAACTTAACGTAACGTAACGTACAGTACAGTGTAGCGTAACGTGGGATGAGGGTAGGCTCGTTTACCAGCTGCTGTTTAGAATAATGAGCCCGCACTCATCCTCCAATCAATTAGTATTTTCCTGCGTTTGACTTGGCAATTAGCAGGAAAATATGCTCTCATCGGTATCTTATGTTTGTTTAGGCGTGTGCGCTGGTATGTGGGTAATTAGTAGGGGTATATATTTGGGCGTGCTGGATTTGTCTTTCATCTCGGTCTTGCTGTTCCAGCGTCCGGGTCATTTTTATTTGTTTTTGACTTTTTAGGGTGTGTGTGTGTTCTTTTTGCTTATATTTTGCAGATGTTTTCAGCTCTACTATGTGGTTGGATCTTCGGGCTGCGGTTCCCCAGTGATCCAGTGCTTTACAATCCCTTGCAAGTTCTCTTCCGAATGTTGCTTTGGTTAGCAGAGCACCCAGTACTTCCTCCAAATATTTTTCCTCTTACAACAGATGGAGGTCTTGGGCACGAGAAAATGGCTTGACAGTTTTTCCCGCTTCTCCGTTTCACTTTGCTATTTATTTGCATCATTTAATGACTGAGACGAAGACAGCATCTCCCCTGGAGTCGGCAGTTCACAGCATTGCCTGGTTTCACCAGCTGGGTGGCGAGCCGTCTCCTTCTGATCATCCGTTGGTGAAGAGTACTTTTGCCGGCGCGCAGCGTTTGCTGGCCCATAAAACAACCAAGAAGAAGCCTATCACAGTCTCTCAGTTAGAGCAGTTAGTTGCCTCTCCAAGGCGGACTCAATGGCCTCTTTGTATAACATTCGTTCGGTTGTTATTTGCTTACTAGCTTTTGCTGCCTTTCTCAGATTTGATGAGCTTGCTAAGCTTGTTCGATCCGATGTTACGATCGAAAATGACATGTTAAAGTTATTTATTCAATCTAGTGAAACTGATCAGTATAGAGATGGAGCTTGCATTGTTGTAGCTTATTCTAGGAAAGCAACTTGTCCGGTTACTATGATGAACCGTTATTTAGATAGAGCTGGGCTTTCCTGCGATAGCCCTTTGTTTTGTCAGCTTTCCAAAACTAAATGTGGTTATACGCCTAGATCTAAAGGTTTAAGCTATTCAAGGTTAAGAGAGTTAGTGCTAGAAGCCTTTAAAGATATTGTTCCTGATATTTCTGCCATTGGTACACATAGCTTTAGGAGTGGCGGGGCCACTGCTGCCGCAAATGCAGGCCTACCAGATCAACTTTTTAAGCGTCATGGCCGCTGGGCTAGTGAATCGGCTAAGGACCGATATGTCCAAGATTCTTTATCTCCTAAGGCTTTAGGTATTTAGTTTTCTTGTTCGTACCGCTTTTAATTGATTCTAGGTTCTATTTACTTGGTCTTGCCCGGGAGACCGTTTTTTCATGGGGTACAGCTGGCCTGGGGTTTTCCTCCTAGGTGCAAGTGGACCTACGGGGAGGTTTTTCACCCAGCTGTTGTTCCACGATCCCATTTCAATTTAATTCAGCTTGTGACCTAGTTTTTTGGAGCTGTATGTTACTTGGATTGTATATTACGTTTCTATGATATGGCATGTATCTTTTAGTCTTTACGTGAATAAACCGAGCGCTTGGCTTGAAGCGAGCCGCACCCAAGGTTTGTGTGTCTTCTTGTTGGGACAAACTGAGATTTAGAGGAGAGCCTACATATCTGGGTGTGAAGGAGACCATTTACATAAAAACCAGAAATTTCGCTTGGGATATCAAAATGTTGGTGGTCCGTCTTTGGTTTGAACCCGTGCTTCCTGCTCAGCATTGATTAACCTGCAATTAGTCAGCAGAAAGCCTTTGAATCTCGTTTACGGCCAAAGGCAAACGTCAGACTCACATTGAGAATTTGTCAAAATTAAGAACACAGGCAGCCCAAGCTCAGTATGAGAGATTATTAATACGCGAGGTCTAATATTGCGTCAGGTAATCCTCAAAATGACCGTCAACGATAAAGGATTTGTATGGGAATTCAGGTAATAGGTTCAAGAAGATAAATATTCCGTGGAAGTTTCAATTAAATACACTTTACCTTATTTACTTAGTTTATTCTTGCTTGCTGTCTGGTTATTTTCCCAACCCGCTGCGATTTAAGCGATTTCCTTTACCCCCGAGTTTCCACTACTAAAGAAAGGAAGTGAAATCACTAAATTCGTGTGGAGGTATTGAACAGTAAACGACAAGGGAAAACTTGGTCACTTGGTACAAATTTACGTTGCCGTTTAACTCTAAATTTCTGTGCTATCCAACTGAGCTAATCAGGCGGCAGTGGGAAGGGTAAGGAGGAAGTATCACGGGAAAGTCAACACCTCTCCTGGTGGGTAAGGGTAGGGGGAGTGGTGTATGGACAATCAAAACACCCAAAGTTTCTCTCAATATACCCCGAACCGAAATAACTCTGTATACTGTAAACTCGAATTACTAGTTATTTTAGCCGATCAAAAAACCCTCGTATACTGTATGGATCAAACCATACCCACTCTTGCGTGTTTTGCTCACTTGCGGCGTGTTTTGATTGTCGAACTCCACATGTGCCGAATCTAAAAAAAATATATAAATAAATGTAATTGATTTGAGTGTCAAGGTATTCAGCACGAAAGTACTAACTGGGGACAATACTTTTACGTCTCCAACTGGAGATGGGACCGCCATTTTACGTGGTCTAGCCGATTGCAGTGCAAAGGGAGTACCTTCATTTCTCAGTTATTTTAATTAAGACCCTGAGTATTGGTTCGGCAACGGGAATCGAACCCGCGACCTCCCGCTCTGCAATCAAGCGCTCTACCAACTGTGCTAATCCTGCCTCGACTAATGCAAATGACTGAGAACAAAAGATTTTACCCATTAGCCTTAAATTCGGCATATGTGAAATTCGACGTTTGAAACCGTCCTGATCGTTCCCATGTTCTATTATCCATGTCGTCCCCGAGAGAAAGAAAAAAAAGATTCGACTGTTTCAACGTAGTTGTATGTTTAATTCAGAATCTGATTCAGGTAGAGTAACAAAAAGTCGTTCATTAAATAATTGTAATAACAATATATTAGATTTTCCTCCTTTAAATAAGAAAGTTCCACTTTTATTGAATTCCCTGATAAGGAACCGAAGGAAGTCGTTTTTATGCTTCATAATCTTGGTCAGTGAGGCTTATGCACCTACTGGCGCGATAAGACATGATGATGATGATGAAACTTGGTCAAAAAGAAAAATAAATCTTACTAGCTGCAATTTGTACAAGATAGTCATTGAGAATATTTTTACGAAAACGAGTAAGCAATTCCATGTAAGCAATTCTAGCGAGGCTGTGCTCAAAGAAAAATTGAAGGGAGCCTGGGGCGCTGAACCTGTGAATTCCAGGGTCCTCAGCGTATGATTTCTATAAAACAAAGACAAATATATCTGGCCAGGAACAAAGCACAGCCGTGTCCAGTATGATTGCATTTTCATTGAAAAGCAGTACCTTTAAAATGCCCTTAGTCCATTCAAAAGACCTTCAAGTGATAATGACATTTTAAGAAGCAAATTAATGCAAAGCAATTTGTAAAATCATAAGCTTTGTCGCAAACAAAAATACCATTTTAACCCAACCCTTGGAAGACAACGACTTCTACATTTACCAAAAGCATGTAAAAGATTTCTTTTAGCAGTTGCTACACTGGCAACACTTGGTACATTCAAGTTTATTGTTGAACTCCCCTCAATATTGTCCTAAATTGTTGGATTTCTCTGTTTATAACAAATTGAATTGAACATTCAAAATCTCACACTACCAGCACAGCCTTTTTTACACTTGCTTGATTTTGGCACACTTGAGGAAGACTGCATGAATTGAGTAAGATATTTTTTGAGCATACATTAGGCCTTAAAGGTGATTAGACCATTATTGTTATAAAGGCGATGACTGTATATTAGTTCTATTTTAAGACTGGTTTTTGTACAGGTCAAAGAACATTAGTGGCAGATAGTATGTCCAAGAGTATTCCCTCTGAGCATGAGGGGAAAGTCCAAGACGTTCTTGATTCTGATCATTTGTTGCTAGGGATCAGGTAGTACTCTGGGATGATTTGATCAACTTTGATGCAAAGTTTGAAACATCTCATCTACGATTTGTGTTATACAGAGTAGCATTGTTTAGCTATTAGCTATAGATTTGCAATGTTTTCAACAGTCTTTGTGAGTTCATCTTGAGAAACATCTGAAACCGCTGTAATTGATGCCCTTTCAGTGATCTGTTTGAAGGTAATATATATGTAATAATATTAATGACTTTGAGTGAATTTTTACACTGAGCTTAAGAAAACTGCATGATCTTTTATGTTTTTGTCCCGCATTAAAACATTGATAAAGCTTTCATGTTTGCTGCACTTTTTGCAACTGAGTGCTTACTGAAGTATTGCAAACAGGCCTAGCTCATCAATTTCTACAAACATTGTCAGTTCTAAGCTTCTAGAACATTCAGTTACAACATAACACGGGCAAATGAAAGACAGACAAGAAATGTGATACAGGCTGGGTTCTGGGCTGGGGAGGGGACCCCCTGAGTATACAACCCAACAAGTAGAAAATTAAAACCAAACAAAGGCAACCCTTCTAAAGTGACTTCACTTTTACTGGATCAGCAGCTTTTTCCTCGCTCATCTTCCCCCCTGGGGGGGGGGGTACTTGGGTTAATTTTTGCTGGGTTTGTGCTGCTGGCCTCTCAGAGCCCTTACCCCATTATAGTCTATTTTGTGGCCAATTATAGACCCCAGCTTAGTCACTTTTGGGCAAATATGTAATTTTCACGATCCCAACGTAGTCACTTTCTATTTTTATGAATTGACCCATTTTTTACATTGAATGAAGAGCACTTTACTTTTCATCTGCGCTACAAACATTCTGGTACGTTTGCTAACCATAAATATGAAGAACCGTCTTACCCCCATAATCCGAAAATGCGCACAATTCTAGAAACACCATTGAAAATGTGACCCGATTATAGTCAATCCAGTCATGAAAATGCGACCCCATCCAGCAGCACATCCCCATTAGCCTCTTATAAGGAAGTACCCCCCACTAGGATCTTTCCATGCCAAACATTCTCACATTCTCACCTGTGAACAGACTTCCTTTCCTGCACTTGCACATTTCGGATTGCCAGCCTGGCTGGAATCTTTGATCAGTGTTGTATGTAGTACATCTGTGAAATTCTTGTTAATTTCTTCAATCTGCTGCCAGGTTCTCCCTTTTAGCTGGATTATGTCAAATAAAAGATATATACTTGGTTAAATCACACGATCGTCACCATACTAGAGGAATGATTTATAGATTTATAGTAATTTTGTTTTTGGTGTAAAAACGGTATATCTCTGTTTCAGTTTTTGTGAATAATTGCGACTTTTTAACACCTTAATACGGCTTATTTAAGGTGCGATCGCGATTTGTTTAAAATCCAACAGCCTTTCTTATGAAAGTTGGTTAATATTGTCACTTGAACCTTACCTCCTTTCATTGTAAATTTAAAGTGAAAGAATTCTTTTTCGAGACTTCTCCTTTCGATAAGTATTAATTAAGATATATACAATGTATATCTTGGTGGCGATTTCGTTGGTGGCGAGATGGTTGGGCGGGGAGGTGACCGGGGTACCGGATCCGCGCCTGCCATCCATTCATTAACTGTTAAGTAAAAGCTATTTGGCGTCCCTCTGTTTTTACTAAATGTAGATTTCTAACCTTCTTTTTGGGAGCATTACTGGTCTTTGCCTTTTTGATGCCAGAGATATTCCCCTTTTTTACTTGAAACTGTTTACTCTTTTTCGAATCTTTCACGTGCGTTTTCCCAGGCGCCATGTTGTTTTTTACTGTAATAACCGCTAACCACATGAACTGCTGACAACATCCGGGAATGTGTAGGCCAAGTCCCTCCCACTGTACTTGCGCATTGGCTATCCCGGTCCTTCGACTGTCTTCGTGGAACGTGGAGTCATTTCCAAGCTTATTTCCTTCATTTGAGAGCGAAGCTTGATCGGAGTTCTCTCATCAGGTGAGTCATAATTAACTGGACGGAATCTGAGATTCCTGGTCGTTCTTTTAAGCTTTCTTTTGCGGTTCATCTCTTTCGCTGTTAAACGGAATTGCTGGCAATGCTACTTCTCCTTGAACTAATCGCCGGATCCGTTCGGTTCTTGACACGGAATTATTGCATCGTTTTAAACTAGAACGTGACTTGATGAATTCATTGTCATTTTTATTCTGTACCTGACATGAAAGCACTGCCATTTAAGCTGTGTTTGTGTTTTAGCAGACCTGATATTTCTAAATCAAAGTTACTTTTTGTGCCTGCATAATATACGTACACTGTGCACTTGTGTTATTTTAGTGTACTCTTGTAAGTTTTAAATCTTGTATACTTGGAAATGAGCTAATACATGGAGAAAGTTTTCTTAGCATGCACGTTCTGATACCTTTCATATTTTCTGCCCATTTTTTCGATTTTTTTATAGCTATACTGATTAAAATAGTTTAATTAATTTTTATACTCAGTCACCCATGCTCTGCTCAATCGACTCAATATCTGCGGTCGGGTTTCAATCAACCACAGGGCAATTACAACAAGAAATCATTCCGAATTTCACTCGATCCTGTTTGTAATATTCCTTTTCTACGTTAACTTGTTGAAGGAGAAATATTTTCGTCGTGTTCATTTGACCTCGTTTTGGACTTCCTGTTGATTCAAGGTGAAAATTCTCGTCTTTATAAGCTTGATATTCTTTCAATCATCTGCTGGTTTACCCGATTTTTAGACCATTTAACTGAATGTTAATGAACGTTGGTTTAAGACTACTTTGAATTTTGTAGTAACATTCCTGTGATAAGATGGATGTTATTTTAGAGCTTCTAAGTAAAGGTGTATTTGTTGCTATGTGTATAATGTACCTCCTTGCACCTGTGTACAAATCATTAACCCTTTTTTCGGTTTTCTGCAATCTATTCTTAAATAAATCCACAGATCAAGTTTAGTTATTCCTGGAAGCTGGGGTGATCAATTTATGATGTTGCATTGTTCCTCATTGTTTTAAACTGACAATGAAACAAAACAGTTTGAAAAATTTCAGTTTTCATCTGTGGGGTCTTTGCTAGGTATAGGGAGTTGTAGTTTTTTAAAGTTTATCTGCACAAGAGAATTGTAATTTAAAGTTAGTAGTATTGTGATTGCAAAATGAGATACTGCAATGGTTAGTAAATAACATTTTTCTAATAGACTGGTTTCAGTTTGGCATAAGACATAACAGTGGAATCTGGTTAATGTGGACACCAAATGAACATGTTAAAGTGTCTTTATTATCTGTTTGTTTGTTTTCTTGATGCCGAGGTTAAAGCATTCGGATTAAAAGCAACAGAATAATGTGTAATGTAATAACTGTAACTCAGCACAAACTGAAGAAACCTTCCCTTAATCAAACAATTTTGCACTGAATTTAATGCTCGCTCGTTTTTTCAAAGGTGTCAACATAATTATTTAACATAGGTTGAGATTTGGCATTTCTCACTCATTTTCAGTTTGCAGTTATGCACTTGAATTCATATGTGCAGATCATGACCATTGATGAAACAATGTTAACTTTGTATGACAGCATGTAATTTGGGTCATCTAAAAGTTTTACTGTCCATTGTCTGTATTAAAGCTGTAACAATACATCAAAGTATCTATTAATCGCGATATTAGTACTGCAATAGCGATGGATCAGTAGTAAAAATGAGACATCAATAATAATTGTGATTGTGTAGTGAACTACCAATAGTTTTGATAGTTTCTCTACTTCTAACATTTTAAATTTCTTTGGAAAATAAAGATTCCGTTTTTACCCATCTTAGATTCTCAAGGTCACAGTAAAAAAGAAACAAAAAACAATCTACCATCCTACTGTACCTACATCTACAGCTGTAGAATGTTTTAGTGTCTTGATTCTTGAACCGCTTTGGGTGTAATGTTAGAGAAGGGTTATATATATCGCTGAGCTCGTTCAAACAAAAAAGGAAAGGCTTAAAACTATCGCAATACTATTGCAATAGTACCTCCACTATCACAATATTATCACAATGTTGGCATGACCTATTGCAGTACAGTTGCAATAGTTAAAATTTCTGCAATAGTCACTTGTAATCTGTATTAATTTAATGTTACTCCTTTTAAGTGGGTTAATAAGGGAAAGTATATGACCTGTTTGTCTAAATGCAGGAAAAGGTCTGTATTATCAGACGGGTTTCATTGAAAGGTGGATTAGGCTGCTTGTTGGAGTGAGGTAACCTATTCTATTGATAGGGTTCAAAAGAATCCTTCTTTAATTAATTTAATTTAGAGGGAAAAGTGGCTAACTTCTGAGCAAAGTTGCTTGTGCTTTTTGGTAGGTGTATGTGCTTTTTGAAAATGCTGAGCAGGTGTCCAATATAAGCAGGTGTCCATAAAGCCGGGTCCCACTTTAGATGTTAGGTGTTTGTGTGTTTTGACATTTTAAGAAGTCCCTGAAAGATATTGAAAACTGGCCATCCAGAAGGCTTGTTTTCCCATAAAATTATTAGAGATTAAGTGAATTTCCTTGTATTTCTTCCTAAAATGGGTGTCCTTAGGATGACTGGAGACCCTTCTGGCTAAAACCTTCATTACAATTCCACAAGGAATTTGTATTATTTAATCAGTAATGTATTGCTGAAGATCAGATAAGGTGATTGGATAGGATCAACAGTTTATGGCAGTAATATTAACATATCAATTTGGAGAAATAACAAGAAGGCACAAATACACTGTAGGACCAAGAATGTAATAAATGATTCAAGCGAATAGAGAAGATTCAGTATATTTATGTACACTACGCACAAAATAAGAAACATGGAGGAAAGGCTAAAACTATGCATGTTAATGTGCACAGAAATTTCTTGAACTCCAAAATTGTCCAGATATGAAGTATACCATGAATTGTCTTTGAATAATCATGGGTAGAGCTATGTGTCAGATCTGGTAGGGACCCTCTGTGGACCAACCTACAGTGTGTTTACATTATTTTGCTGTATGTACTTGCAAGTGTTATTTTGCGTGTATTTCAGATACATATATTTGTTGTGGTTCAATTTTATTTTGTTTTGTTTCGATTCATTAACATATGGTATTCTGCCCAAAAATCATTTACAGTGTACATGTTACAGGTCAAAGTTGATTTCAGGTTAAGTTTGATTTAACCTAGGTTGATTCTCAGTTCCTTTGTCTCATAGCCCTAATTCATGAATAATTAGGGCTATGAAACAAAGGAAATAGAGAATCAACTGAGGTTAAATAATTGCATCCGACGTTAGGAGAACACAACACAAAATCAGTTGGGATTCCTGTGGTACTCATTTTGTTGTACGACTGCATTTTCTACACCATCTTGAACAATTTATCTTGTGGGCACAAAAATATTAAATACAATTAATTTGACATTATGGTCTTAGCAGTGGTTGCCTGGTGCAATGGATAATGCGTTGCCCTTGCACGTCAAAGGTCTTGGGTTTGACTCCTGCTGGGTGAGACTTTTTCTTTTCTTCGTAGTCGTTTTGTTTTCTTTTGTTTCTTTTTTAAAAAAACATATAGGAAGCGGTTTGCAGCATTAATTTATTAGGAAATAATGTCACATTTGACAGTAAACCTAAAAAAGCTGGAACGCAGTTCCTAATCTGAGATTACTACTAGCTTTAAAGCACTAAAGCATTAAAGCACTGTAGAGGTACACATTGTCCATACATGTAAACAATTGTGTTCTTTTGTATCAGAACTCCCAAGTTAAGGCTCAATCATGCCAGCTCCTGGGAAGCTGAGAGACCTTATACGAACAATAAGAGCTGCAAGGACAGCAGCTGATGAGAGAGCAGTTATAGCTAAAGAATGTGCCTACATCAGAGATTCATTTAGAGAAGAAGATAATGACTTCAGATGCCGCAATGTTGCCAAGTTATTGTACATTCATATGCTTGGTTATCCTGCTCACTTTGGCCAAGTACGTACATGTTCAATAATTATTTTTTTGTGTAATAAATAAATTTTTGTCTAGAAAGAGGTAATGTGAAGAGGGAAATTGTCAGTGATATCTTTTATTCCAATCATTAATCATACAGGCTTGCTTTTAGGAATTGCAAGTGAATCTGATTATGATACAGCTTTCATTAACAGTGCACATGTATGCTGGTATTTAGTAATGGGCTGTGAAGAATAAAAGAATATGGTCTAGGTGTGGGCAAATAATTTCATGCTTCTTGAGTACATACATGTAGGCTACCCCTGTAAAGAGATTCTCAAGTTTAACAAGCATACCACCTTTTGGGGGTTTTGTACATGAAGTTTTTCAACCGTGTTAACCTAGGAGGAATGTGATTTAACCCATGAATGGATGTTACCTAAAACAGTTACACTGTAGGCATTGTTTTGTATCTTGCCCTGCTTTTCATTGTTACATATTCCATTTTAATCAAGATATAAGCTATTTTGTGGGGGAGACTGGTTAGGAAACCTGGCAAACATCAAAGTGTAAAACAATGGTGCTGTAGTTTATATTGGAAGCTCTGTGACCATGCACTATCCTTTGTTTTCTGTTCTCAAATTATGACTGAATAAATTAATGCAACGTTTCTATGGTCCAATAACTTCAAAATGATAGGAATGCTATTGAACATTGTGCATGGTCAGGTCCAAAAAAGCTAACAAAAGCCTATAACAAAGGTTTCCCAACCATTCCACTTTAATTGACTATGTTACAAGCCTATGCAAGTTGATACCTCTCCTTTTACTAGATCTGGACCTAAAACTTTCAAAATTCATGGTATGACTGGTTTTTGTGACTTTGTTGAAGAATTTTTGTGGCCGAAAAGTTATACCTGAAGTGAATACAGTGTATTATGAGGGAAAGAAAAGGGGCTATGAGTGATTTTGGTTATGAAAGGTAACTGATAATCAAAATTGGTTTAAACCATTAATGAATTTCATTTTGGACTACAACACAGATACTCAGTGTTGGTGTTAGCTTTAATAAATCAAATGTTTTTTTTATTTTGCAGCTTGAGTGTCTAAAACTAATTGCCTCGCCCAAGTTTACGGACAAAAGAATAGGTTATCTTGGAGCTATGCTTCTTCTAGATGAACGGCAAGATGTTCACCTTTTGGTCACAAATTCTCTCAAAAAGTGAGTCCAGTTGTTCACTCTATAGCCTGAGAAAACAGCCAACATTTCTCGATGCCTCCACTGGTTTCTCCGTGAGATGAAATCTGAGGAATGAGTGCAGAAACTCCAAGCTGATGACATGTCACTACCCAGATTTGGGTTGTTCATCTGATTTATCATGCCGCAAAGGAAATTTTTGTCAACCTGTTGGAATCACTGTCCAGATCTGGGTTGTGAGATATCATCAATGTGGAATTTCTGCCCTAATTCCTCAGGCATCATTTTTCTGGGAAACCATTAATGGTGTGGCAAAATTTCGGATGGTTTCTCAGACTATTTACGGTTAGTTTTATTTGTATTTTAAAATGCAGAGGCTTTGATGGACACATCAGCATCTGAAATACTCAAAACTACCCACTTAGAACTATGATCTAAGGTTTTCCTGTCACCACTATAATACATGTATCATTGTATGTCTTATAATGATATTGAGAGCTGACTTGAGTAGCCAACATGTTTAGGAAATGCATTCTTCTAAAGCAAGCATACAAAGGTGTACATTATACTACTATTGCATTTACAGTGTGTAGCCAACTAATATTGATGCTTCTCCTTTTAGTGACTTGAATCATTCAAACCAGTTTGTTATTGGTCTGGCACTATGCTCCTTAGGAAAGTAAGGACAAATTTTTTTTATCTTGTTGTTATAAAGTATAATGCATGCATTTCCAGAGAAGTCTTGTTACACTTCAAGTCTTGAGTATAGTAAAAACTAAAATTAATGATTTGTATTTCTGTTGTACTTCTTTTTTTGGCAGCATATGTTCTCAGGAAATGAGTCGTGATTTAGCTGGTGAAGTGGAGAAACTGCTGAAGTCGTCAAATTCTTATCTAAGAAAAAAGGTGATATCTTTTATATTGAGCCAAATTACAAGTATTTTCTGTTTGCATTAAATGAAACAAAGCCCCTCAATTTTCCCACCTTAAGGTTAAAAATAATGTTTTGGTACAAGTCCTCCTCAGGGAGACCGATGACAAATTGTGCTACAGTGTACATTGTAATTATATAATTGTCTACATTTACATGTAGTTACAGTGATTTGTGTTTGCTGCTAATAATAGTCATGCAAACCTGGGAAAATTGATTGTTTGTGAAGTTTTAATGGCCGTTTGTTAATTTTACATTTTGCTATTACTTTTCAGGCTGCACTTTGTGCGGTAAGAATTGTTCGAAAAGTACCTGAACTTATGGAAGTGTTTATCCCGACAACAAGATCTCTTCTCAATGAGCGAAACCATGGTTAGTCTGAGTTGATTGGTTTCTTTTTGCTAAACAAAATTAGATGACGTTTTTTATTTGCATTGTGATGATACCATAATATGGTAAACTTGTACACTTTGCAGATGTTACATGTATTTTTATTTCTTTTGTTAGGTGTGTTAGTTTGTGGCGTTTCATTGGTTACTGAGATGTGTCGTGTCAATCCAGAAACACTGACACACTTTCGAAGGGTATGTTTGGAGTTATTTTCCTCTCCCCATTTTCAGCACACCTACACACACATGCATGTAACATGGTGTGTTCATCTTTAATGGTTTTTTTTCCTACATGTGTATTTCACATGATAATTATATTGTTGAGATTCTTTTTGGCAAATTTCAACGTTTTGAAACATTTCTTCCATGCAACCAGGATTGACAAGTCGTGATTATGTGCTAGAATTATTTCAACATGTTGCTTAATTCACTGTTCTGTTAGTTTGTGGAGTGGAGTGGAGACCTGATTTGACAGTTGACTGTTAAAGCTGTATTATGGGAATTGATAAACTTGTGGCCCTTGTTTGATTGTTAATTTTAATCTGAACTAAATCGTTTTAGAGTAACCAGTTAAAGATGATAAAAACAAAATTTGTACATTTTTCTTTCCCTGTAACACAGCAACCCAGTTTCTGACAGTATGTTGACCAGCAAGAAAAGAAACAATGATGATGATAAAAAAAAGGGAACTAGCATGAGGCATCACAACTGTACTTTAGCCGTTGATATTTATTGTCTTTCATTTGAATGGTTTTTTGCATCACAGCATGTACCAATATTAGTAAAAACACTGAAGAACCTTGTGATGTCAGGCTATTCTCCTGAACATGACGTATCAGGGATCAGTGATCCATTCATCCAGGTAAATGAAAAAAAAGAAGGTTATTCTAACAGTACATGTGTGTTGTATAAAATTGGTCTTCCGGAACCAAAGTTGTTCACCCAAATTTTATGTGGGTTAGATTACAAGAGAATGCTGTTTCTATTCTCATGATGTTTTTGTTCTTTGGCAATTGGATGTAAGTGTTGTGGTTAATTTTTTATCTCAGGTAATGTTTGTTTTTCTTTTGTTTTTGGGTATGGTAGTGTATGCTAATGAAGTTGAAACGAAAGAAAAGGAAAAATTACCTGAGATAAAAATTAACTATGTAACATAAACACTGGAGATGAACATACTTGTACTCTCAGTCAATGGTGTTGGTCTCAATCTACAGTTGTAAGGCTTCAGCTCTTTTATATTTTTTAGTTTTTTCCTGTTATTGTTGTTAATTTTTATTGGTGTTCCATTTTCCAAAAAATATTCCGCTTAAAAAAAAATTGGTACAATAATATTGTATCTGTCTTCCTTAGAAACCAGTATTTTCCATTCCATCTAAAATCATAGGATAATTCACATTTACATGTACATTTCATACCATTTTTAATTAAGTTGTAATTCATTTTTTAAATTCTTTTAGGTTAAAATACTGAGACTTCTAAGAATGCTTGGTAAAGATGAAGAGTCAGTCAGTGACCAGATGAACGATGTTCTTGCTCAGGTGAGTGATTAATGTTTAATTTCCCCTTACTTTCTGCAACAATGTCCCTTTGAAAAGATTTCATCACCAGCAGTAACCATCATTCTGGTACAAAGAATGATTCTGTTCAGTCACTTCCAGCCGCAGCCATCAGAAGTTCCTGTAGTAGCCATGGAACATTCCAAGTGGAAGCAATTATTCTCTTATTTTATGCCATGATTTAGAGAATACAGCCAATAAGAAAGCTAGAAACCCTTTGCATTTTCTGTGCTATGTAAGTATGTAGTGTGTCACGGAAAATCAAGGTGATGCTCCTGGCCTTCACACTTCCCACCAAAACCAATGCAGATACTGACAGCTAAAACTTTTCATCAAAAATTGCCAAAAGTAACTTTAAACAGCACTGTAAAACCCAGCACAAGGCACTTGTGGGATATTTCACTGTATACCACTTGAAAGCATTGCAAAACTAACTAGTACATGTATGTTTATGCAATAATAAATAGTAAAAATGGTAAAATTATTATTTTGTGTTGTTTTTTTTGGGTCAGGTTGCAACAAACACAGAAACAAGCAAAAATGTAGGCAATGCCATCTTGTATGAGACAGTTCTCACCATAATGGACACCAAATCTGAGAGTGGCCTCAGAGTATGTACATTTTTTGTTTTCAGCAGTTTACTTCATACATCATACGTTGTGTCTGTTTTATGATCTGTACATGTATCGTCAAACGGATCCTAGTATTAAGCAGTCACCGTTATGGACTAGCTAAGTTATAACTTTACAACAGTGTGATCTTTAAAACAGGTTTTGAAAATTTGCTTCTATTTAAAATTTCAAGCAACAAATGGATAGATAGAGAGAAAATTGATTAACCTCAAAGGGATTTCTGTCCTTGTGTTAAAAGAAAAGAAATATTCAGCCATTGCTGGCCCAAACACAGACATACATTTACACGATGTAGTACAACAATGCCTTGATACATGTTTATCCTCGATACATGTACCTCTAAACGGAGGTAGAGGTGAAGGCAAAAAGAAATAGCTCAGTGGGATGTAGGAAATGGTGACTGTCACCACTTCCATGTAATAAAGGTCATTTTTAAGGGGTGACTGCTTGATCCAGGTTTGACTATGGGTGAGTGAAACTTACAAGTGTCAATGTCTTGTTTCTGTTTTAGGTTTTAGCAATCAACATTTTAGGACGCTTTCTTTTAAACAATGACAAAAATATAAGGTGAGGGATGCATACATTTGTAGAAAGTCATTGTCATTATTTCCAGTTTCATCTTAACTAGCAGTTGATACTTCAGTGGACAGTGATTGTGGTGAAGCCACTGAGAAGGAAATAAAGGAAATAAAGCCCAAAGTAGTCAATTGGTTATAAATGAGTGTGGATTTATCAGTAGATTAATTGATAAAAAATGATAAATCTGATTCTGACTTGGTGGCGTCCTGTTGGCTTTTGCCCCTGAGCATTATAGAGTCTCTCCTTTTGTGAGGACAGGCCACAGTGTTCCCTTTATAAAGTGAATTTTCTCTGCGTCTGGTTTTCTGTAACAACAGGGTTTTACGGGAGAGGGTTATCAGCCCTCAGCCCAACCCCCAACCTAAAGGACCACACTTAGTCTGGTCTCTATCCTTCAAACCTGTTCGGCATGGGTGGCCCTACCTGGAGTCAAAGACCCCAGCTGACACACACACTGTAGCTCTGTGGGTCATTGAGACTTGCAAACCACTCCACCACAGTGAGGTGGTGATCCCTTTGGAGTGGACATTTGGGAGCAATCAATAGACAAAAATCGGTATAGATAAAAATCATCAGCAATCAAGTGATTTTTATTGATTGATAATGGAAATCAGTGAAAAACTGTCTAGGAAGTCTTTTAACCTGAATTTCAGACATCCTATCGACTTGAAGGGGAACCTCTAGGAAACCGTTATCTAAAGTTGTATCTCTTGTGATTTTTGCCTGCAGTAACTGACTGTAATTTAAACTGAACCGTTTTTGTTATTACAGTCAACTCTCTTTAAGACGGACACCTTTGGGACCGGCACTAAGTGTCTGTCTTAGAGAGATGTCCGTCTTATAGAGAGTCAAATAAAGGGAGTAAAGAAAGGCAGGGACCAACTCTAAGTGTCCGTTTTACAGAGGTGTCCGTCTTATAGAGGTGTCCATTAAGAGAGAGTTGAGTGTAGTACAAAATAAAGGGTTTCAGAGAGAAACTTGTGTGTGTAATAGTCCTTAGACTTCTGTTACAAAAATTGTTAAAATCATAAAAAATCAATTATATCGATTTGACACAGCAATTGAATTTATTGATTTTCACCAATTGTCATTATCAATTGGTAAAAATCACTTGATTGCTACCGATTTCTATCAATTGACTACTTTGGGAAAAAGGAAATTGTTGACTTTGTTCTTAATAATTAATAATTTGGGGTAGGAGGCAGTGAAAGTTGAGAATCGAACTGGGGTAAAAGGAAAATTTAACCTGAATTTTATTTTGAATTTAAACACTCATTTTTTTAAATAAATTTTTCTTCAGATATGTTGCATTAAACACACTTTTAAAGACTGTTCATGCTGATTACAATGCAGTTCAGAGACATCGGACAACCATTTTAGATTGCCTAAAGGACCCAGATATTTCTATAAGAAGGTGATGTGTCAAATATGTGATATTCATGTAGTATTACAATTTTGATACTAAAATATTAATATTCCACAAAGAGGGAACTGTGCAGGGTAAATAAAAAATACACTTTAAGCATGAAACACAGCTTGTACGACTGTCAGTGAAGAAGGGTTATACACCCAAAACCTTTGTTTCTATGATAAATTGTGCCATTTTTTGACATTGTGTTTCGATAGTAACATTCTGTGATGCAAGTGTTGCACATCTCATATGAATTTTCCCTTCACCATTAATTTTTGTAGACATGTCGCCTTTTTAACATACTGTAGAGCTACAAGTATGCAAAGTGATCAGTTGTTTTACGTCTTGAAAAGAAACGGGCCAAATCTCAAGCTCTTGTTATGTTTTTCATCTTCATTCCATCTGAAAGAGATGTTAAAAATTATTAACTGTATGATAATGTTGGTTGTGTATTTTCAGGAGGGCTATGGAGTTGTCTTTTGCTCTTATAAACTCCAGTAATGTTCGTGGCATGATGAAGGAACTGCTGGCTTTCCTTGTCAAAGCTGATGTCGAGTTCAAGGCCTACGTCACATCAGAAATCTTTTTAGCTGCAGAAAAGTATGTTTCATTCTCTTTGTTGCACGCTTACCTATAATTCCCTTTGTACTACTTATCCAAAGCTATATAATTGTTTGGTTATTAAGCAAGCTGAATTTTTTCTTATGGGCCTATTATGTACTATGTTTTAAGGTTTGCATGTTAGAAGAAATTAATAACCAGTTACTGTATTCTTGAAGGTTTGACACATAGTAAAAATTTAATTGTTTGTACTATTGGTCTTTGTCAGGCGATGATGCTGATTTATTGTGCAGGACTAATAAAATTTATTGTAACACCGGGTATTTTTGCTGTATTTTGAGAGTCTCCATGAACATGAGAATGTCATTACTAAAACAAGTGTTGTACTGTTTGTAGGCATGCTCCAAACAAGAGGTGGCATATTGACACTATGATGAAAGTACTCACATCTGTAAGTGGTGCCAGAATGTATTGCTCCTCATAAAAATAATAAGGAGCTTAAGGTGGATCGACTGGATTTTTTGGGGTTGATACCTTCCAGGTTTGAGCATTAACTACGTCGGCATGAATAGAGATATGGAAAAAAAGTTACCACAACTGTATTATATAAAGATGAAAATTTCTTATGATCTGGGATTTATTGCAATCGGAGTCGCCATGGCAACGTAATGATGCCATTACGTTTTTCATTTATTGTTGGGTTTCTCTGTACCAGGAGTTTTTTGAAGAAATCGCTTAAGGGAGTATGTACCTGCCATAATTGAAGAGCGTTTTCGAATTATTTTGAAATGCAGTTTTAAGAATCATCAAAGCAGTGAAATAGCATGCTAGCCGCACAATTCGCTAATATTTTAAGAAAATGATAAGCTTTGGAATCGCGGCTTCATCTCATAGTGGTTTGATTCCATTGAAAACTGCATACAAAAAAAAAGGGGAATTTCTCTGGGCGATCGCGAGTAAGAAGAATTTTATTAACTTGCATTCAGCTGCTTTTGATACAGTTTTTGGACGTAATTTGGTCCATGCCTAAAAATTCCGCATTTTTCCAAAAACCGCTCGATACGTTTTTTTATAAATCCCACAATTCCGAGATCAATCGTCAGGAAATATTCCCTGCAAGTTTCAAGAACATTGAAAACAGGGAAGGCTTTTAAATAGGGCCTCAAACATAACTAATTTCCGCCCCACATTTTGTGTTTACAAGTGAGCGTCCTAATTATTCACTGGCATTGTTTTCAAGTTTCATATGCACGTGCACAACTAGCAAAAGATATAAATTTGCATAAAAAAGAACTCTCGATTACTTTCCGAAGAAATAGCCGGAATATGCTAATAACTGGCTTGTCGTCACAGATAGCAGTGAGAGCCGAAACGGTGAACGTCACGGCTCATCGTGTAGGATGCAATACTTAATTATCTTACTCGGGTTATAACATCACAGAAACTCTCACAAAGAGTTGGCCTGATCTTATAATGTATCACTAATCTCTTTACCCGGTAATTAGCATATCCCAGAGATTTAACCGAGGGTCCTTTTTGATGCAAATTCTATCTTTTTGCTAAATGTAAAAATACATCTGGTTAGAAGCCCATCCCCGGATTTATAAGCCTCCTTGTAGCTTGTATTGAAATGAATTCATTTTTTTTTACGACGTTTGAAAGTGTAAAAAAGTGAGTGACGTTGAAAAGTGTCTTGATCAGCTTTGCTACAATGTATGTAGCTTGTTTCAAACCATTTTTTAGTCCAGTTATAAGTTTTCCTGGATATAAGCCCCTTCTTTATAAGCCGTTCTAAAACTCGTTACAAAGTTATATAAGCCCAAGGCTTATGAATGGAAGTTACGGTTTGCTTTTTATAGGATAACATCCATTTTACAATAACTGAGAGATTTTTCGCACCCTGATTGGTTTAGAACTATTGTCGATAAGAATACAGGCTATGGAAAAGGACTTGATGGTGGTGTACTTTTTTTTGCTCTAAATAAGTATTTGTATTTGTATTTGTATTTATTTATTTGCCACACTATTATAATAATTACAAAGAAATGCCAAAAAAAATGTAGGAAGAAATTGGCAAGGAGGCCTAAAGGAGACTATAGAGCTTATGTTAATTAGGCCTCTTCAATTACAATTTTTCGAAGATGGCATAAAAATTACGGCGACGGATACAAAATAATATCAGGTGGAAAATTAAACTAATCAATATTACGGAAGTTTACAAATAATGTTAAATATTAAAAGGCTTTTTCGCAAGATTTCTGTTGGAGTAATTTTGTTCTCACTCCGCCCAATGATTTATCTTTCAACACACTGTTTTCTTCATCTGAGAAAAGAATGATTAATAAACATTCTGCAATATGAGGGCAAAAGAATTTTGAATATTGTTGTAGTGTTTTGGATACCAATGCGACAATTTTTGATGGTTATTGTATGTTGTATTGTTATACTTTAGGCAGGAAGTTTTGTACGTGATGATGCAGTTCCCAGCCTTGTTTACTTGGTGTCGACGTCAAGTGAACTGCAAGGTTATGCAGTGCAGAGTTTGTACAAAGCCATGCAAAATGACATCAGCCAGGTATTCCTCTGTCCTACTCAAAATTATTTCAATAATGTCAATGAAAAATAGTACAAAATTAAGAAGTTTTTGCATCTTTAAAAACAATTCCTTTTTGTGAGTTAGGGATAAGCAGCTCTTGAAGTGTAATAGTGACTACGTAATGTTTCGTCTTTCTTTTTACCTTATTTTTCATATACGTTTGTATACTTTTAATTTTTTAGATACTAAAGTATGTTTTACCTACACTGTATGCGGCACCTTTTCACAAAAGTCAATCCATCACTATCTTTTCTTTGAGACTTCCAGTACTGTTGTGGTCTTTTGGGATTGCTCAAAAATATATACATGTATTAACTGACACGAAATGTGGTAGCAACCAAAAATTAATGTAAAGCCGCGTTTTGGTAGTACATATAGTTGTGTGTTACAGCTTTTAATGTAGAATGTAATATCTTGCCTAACCTTAAAATGTACAGCTGGTAAATCTTGACTAACAAAATACATAATTTTGACACAACATTTTGACAATTTGTGGCACAACAGACACCTCTTAATAATGACGACTTATATTCTCTGTTCCCAGTTATCTTAGGATAAGAACCAATCAGACTTTTAACAACACAGTCTTGGTGTCTGAATTATGCAGTTTTGACTTAAATACTTTTGTATTTGGAATCGGCCTTTAATCAAAGATATAACATGCTAGCCTGCTAGCAAGCTCTTTTTCTTTTTTCTCTCCCACCCTAGAGCTCCCCGGAGTGCTTTGGTTTATTGAGACTGATTATGTAGTGTGTTACTACTGCATGCCTTGTTGTGTTTTAGCAACCTTTAGTGCAAGTGGGATCTTGGTGCTGTGGTGAATATGGTGATCAGCTCTTTGTTGATATTGAAGAAGATGAATCTCTCAATGTAAGTTCTGACACAAACATCTGTTTTGTTTTTTTTGAAAGAAATGTTGCGTCACGTCATTATTGAATTAAAAAAATTGATCGCTTACCTAATCTCATTAAAAGGCAGTTGGTAAGCACGAGAATTTTCTGGTATAAAACAGTACACAATAGTATGATTTATTAAGGAGGCTTGCCAGAAACAATTATTGTTTGTTCCACATTAAGCTGTATTTGTTTAATCAGGCTTTTGCTCAGGCAGTCCTTGTTTAACAATAATATTACCAAAATTAGGGGAAAGTAGGAGTTTCGACAGAACATGCAAATAAAGCGTTGTGGTTTGAACAACAGAATGACAGACCATTAACAAGTGCCCTCTTCTCTCAGTGTGAATTTAACTTAGACCCTGTTTACATGGAGTGGGGGACCCCGGACTAGTGGGGTAAGTTTCTTTTGTTTTGTGTCTCCCAGAGCGTGAAAACAAAAGAAACCAACCCCACTAGACCGGGGTCCCCCACTCCATGTAAACAGGCCCTTACTACCACCTTGCTTTGTAGATTACAGAGAGTGATGTCTTGGATGTTCTAGAGAGCATTCTCTACAGTTCACATTCTACTGCCACAACAAAAGATTATGCATTAACAGCTGTTATGAAGCTCAGTACACGCTTCTCTTCCACTCAGGAGTAAGTACAATATTACTTGAAGTAACCAAAGGTTACGGGGTGGGTGAGAGCATCAGCGATCTAAGGTCAAAACTCTCTTGCTCCAACGCTCTGCTTTGCTTAAGTTACACGTGAGAGAAGGTCAAAACGCGCGTGATCAGAGTACGAGTGACAGAAGGTCCAAATGCGCATTATTAGATTGCGTTCTATGCGTTCCATTTATTCTTAGTGGAAGTCCAAACAATTAAACACTTTCACGTCGTAGTCGTGCAACGACGGCTAAGAAATGTACAAAAAAGCGTGATGCACGTGCAAAGTGGTTGTTTTGCCAATCCAAACCTAATGCTTTTTTGCCGTTCTCGTTGTTGTGGTCGTCATTGCTTATGCTCCCTACTGTTTGCTTACACGTCCCCCAGACTAGAAAACCATTAATCTACTTAAAACTAGTAATAATTGGAAATTAGGGGAGTACGTTCGGCAGGCAGGGAGGGGTGATAAGGCAAGGAGGAGGGAGAGTGAGAGATGGAGGTTAAGGAGGGGGGTGCAAGGTAAAGTATGATGTTATGTTGTCATATTCTCTTAATATTTGACGTCCGTTTTTGATTAGACTGCGAGCAGTCTCTCTTTTTCTTCAGATTTAGTAACGCGCGAGCGTTGAGTGGCGAAGCCGCGAGACGCGAGAAGAAAAAAGAAATCTCTTTTGTCATGCCTCTACCGGCTCGCGCCTTCAGTCGCGTGCGTGGTCATTTGCGTGTCTCGGGCGTTTCGCTCGACGGACCAACAAAAAAAAGAGAGGCTGCTCGTTGTCTAGTTTTTGATCTACAAACTACAATAAAAACCCAATGCGAAAAAGAACGACAGTGCTCATAAAATGAAAGTAGAAATAACCAGCCAGTCAGTCCAAGATGGCGGCTAAACCGTGAAATCATATGGCATCCAGAAAAATACCCGCAGGACAGTGCATTGCGCCGAGAAAAAGGACTCGAATATTGAGCGTTCTCCTTCGTCGAACGTAATAAACATCTGTGAACGAATTTGGAGGTCCACTGTCTACCTTAAACTTCGTTCTAAGTTAGACTTCCTATATTTTAGTAGCTAACCTTTGTTAACTGACCACTTGCCTCTTGTCTGAGGTTGGAAGCTTATTAGAGGTCTGATTGGAACTTAATACCTAACTACTTGGTGTACTACAGTGTACATGTGATCCTGCCAGTAGCTGTCTATGTACATCATGTATTACTGCACCCTCTTACACCAAACTGGACTTTCCATGATAAGTTCTGTCAGCAGCTTATTACTAGGGCATCCTATTTGCAGCTTAATAACGTAACACTTTAGATATAGTGAAAGAAGTTGTTTTCTTTCATCATTTTCAGACGGATTAGGAATATTATTAATCAATTTGAAGTCAACATGGATGCAGAATTACAGCAAAGAGGAGTTGAATTTGGAGCTCTCTTTAAGAAGCATGACAGTATGAGGTATATGGCCTTTTTATGTTTGAGCAAATTGTAATGTATGTCAGTGAAACAAAGTACGGAATTTGGTTAGTAGCTTTCAGTGCAGTTCTTTTTTTCTTACCCTTGTAAAATTTCCAGTCGTAATCTTGCCACATGACCATTTAAATTATCTGATTTGGTGCTGTAAAAGGTGGTGTAGATCTTCATCCTGATCGGTAAATATCTTACAGTTCAAGCTCTGCTAACAGTCTCTGGTACCCAGTAAAAGAAGTGCTAGGGCAGAAGCTGTTATCAATAGAAGCACAATCTACACTTAGATGGCTAAAGCAGACACTGAAGAATTTAAACTATCTAAACTGTTATCAGGAGACCATGTTACACCTATTCCACTTCACAGTGGACACTAAAATGAATGTTGTCACAGGTGTTACCCTCGTGCAGTGTAGTACAGTCGACGCTCTCGTAAGCGACCACCTGGGAAAACGTGGTCGTAATAGAACTGGTCGCTTACGAGAGGAGCTTTGGTAAGCGACCGCATAGGAAAAAAAAAATAGAGGGAGGTCTCTTAGGAGAACCTCAGAAACTCGTTAATAATTCACCCCCCAAAAGAAAAGAAAATTAATAATAAGCCCAAATCTAAATATCAGTGCAAGAATACGTTGATCTACATCAGAAGATTTTGAAGCCGTACAAACTTACAGTTCCTGTTTTATCGGGAGAGAGCTTAAAAACAAAGGAAAAGTCCAGTTGGGTAATCCCAAAAGTGGTCGTGGTCCCTTAAGTGATTAGCCTGTTCCAGGCTCCGAGAAAGTCGGGTCCACTCGCGTACCTTTCAGTTTCGCGTCTTCCCCACTATCTGAGAGCCTGAAACAGGCTCTTAAGGGAGCGGTCGATTACTAAAAGTTTTTATTACTAAGTGTAAGTCATAGTTCAAACGGGGTTTCACAAAGGTGGTCGCAACTAGAGCTGGTCGCTTACGAGAGTGGTCACAAGGAGAGCTTCGACTGTTGTTTAACGTGTCTTTGCTCATGGTGACTAAGGATGATGGTAACTAAGAGCGCTTACATAGGCAGGAAGTAGAAGAGAAATCCACTATTAATTTGTTAGGATTGTCCAGCCTTATCAGTCTATTCTCACATAAGACGCAAAGCGTGTGGAGGAATTAAGCAAACATACTCGAAAAAAAGCTTTTTGATCATCAAAATGATCGGTTTGGCTTGCAAGTTTTTTTTTGCTGAGCGCCTAAGGAATTTTTTCCTCCCTGTTCATTTTTGCTTTACACCCAGATCCTGTACTTGCACAGCTAGATTGAAGGCTGATGTTAAAAAGTAACATGTTAGTTGATTGATCTACAGGCCTGCTCTGTTGGAGAGGATGCCAGTGTTTGAATCGAAGACCACTGAGCCAATTACCAATGGAGAAGTGCCTTCACAACCCGAGACTGAAACAGTAAAACAAGAAGGTACGTGGTAAAAAAAAACGTAAGTTCTACATCAGTTTCGAAGTATCAAAATTTATACTTGGGTCCGAAGACAAAACCTATTGCAGTTACTTTATTATAGGAAATTAACACTTCATAAAATTAAAATTCGCGTTGGTTTAAGTAGCGTTAATTTCTGCGCTGTTAATTAAGTGGAGCGTTGATAGAGTTCTAAAGTGTGACGTCGTGAAAATTAAATTCATGAAATTATGGGATTTGTCGGGATATTCTGAAAGAACAACATATTGGCCCGAAATGCTAATTTTTTCAAGTAGGCCTCTTGGACGATGTTCTTTCAGAATATCCTGACAAATCCCATAATTTCACAAATTTAGTTTTTATGACGTCATCACTTTAGAACTCTATTGCCGCTACCTTAATTGTCATTATTTTGGCTCCAAATTCTCGATACACTTCTGTCATTCTTGACACCTAAGAAAGAGGAGTATTTTATCAGGGTGGAGATTATTCTGCAAAGACTATGATGTAATTAAGTTGACAGCGATGATATACCTATGCGATGAGATATTATCTATCACCATACGAACATTGATAGTTAAAGATACAGTCAACTGTCTCTAAGACGGACACCTTTGGGACCGGCACTAAGTGTCCGTCTTAGAGAGGTGTCCGTCTTATAAAGAGTCAAATAAAGGAAATAAGCAAAGGCAGGGACCAACTCTAAGTGTCCGTTTTACAGAGGTGTCCGTTAAGAGAGAGTTGACTGTATTGCGACATTGTGAAACAGTAAAATACATGAACTTGCAGTTAATGTTTGTTGCCAGCTTGGGGGAATTGTTACATACTATATTGTTGGAATTATGGTCAGTGTGTTGGATTACACAGCATATTGTGGCAAAGTGTATCATTGCAGCCCTACTCCTTTTGCTACGTTATGATTGCCGATATTGTCGTTATAGAGTGTTGTAAAAGAGATTAAATTTTATTCACCATAACTTGGTACTCTTTTGTGGATTTCGGCTTATTATTTCTTTATTTGCTTTGCAGCTGTAATTGAATCAAAACCTGCAAAACAAGCGGTAAGACTTCTGGTGTTAATAACTGTTACTTAAGTTTGTTGTTGTTCGTTATTTGTGGCATAAGATATGCATTATTGACCTAGTGTCAGGTCGACGTGGCTGGATATTTGTCGTAAAAAAGGAGCGAGACAAATGTTCAGCAAAACTCGGGCAATAAAGGATCTACTATGTGGCCTGAAACAATATCGTCTCTCGCGAGACAAAACAAGCGAGATGAGTCCATCTTGCCCACTCGGGTACAGGTAGCCAATCAGAACACTAGATTTGCTCCATCTTGCTTGCTCGGGTAGCCAATCAGAACACTAGATTCGCTTCATCTTGCCCGCTCGGGTAGCCAATCAGAACACGGTTTCCAAAAGATGCGGCCGATTTACCTTATATCGCAGACGTCTTCCAAGTTTGAAGAATGAGCCGGGGGGGTTGAGCCAATCAGAAACAAGGAGTTATTTTGAATGAATAATAATCAACAATATTAACTTCGTCTGCGGTGAATAATTGTTAAATATGATTTCCTTTGTTTTCCTATCAAATCATAGTCTGACACGCTGTTGGATCTACTTGGTGGAGGCCCCGCACCTGAACCTACACCCGCCCCAGTCCAACCACCGGCCCCTGCAGCCTCATCAGGCGGGGAACTTTTAGATTTACTAGGAGGTCTGGATCTCGGCTCAACAAATGCAGGTATGTCCCTTTTATAGTAAAATTATTTGGTGGCCCTTTTATAGTAAAAGTGGTTGTTGGCTGTAGTGGTTCAGATTGGTAAAGATTGTTTTAGCTTGTTTTGCTTCGAAGCATTTGCTCCCTATTTACCGTAAATCCTCTATTAACCCCCCTCTCAAGTAAGTGCGCCCTCTCTAATAAGCCACACCCCTTTTAGGGAAAGAAATTTTTTAAGCTCCGTTTTCCCTATTCTTTAAAATAATGATAGACTATGTTAATTAATACGACTGTAACACGTCATGTGGATTGATTCACGTGCTGGTACATGTAGTTCGGATTTGTTTTTGATCTTCGGCCTCCTGACCTGACCTCCAACTTCATGTAACCAGGAATTGGAGTTCTAGTTTTAATGGCGAATTGATACCATCATCTTTGCTAAATTAAATAAGCCTCCCTCAGATGTGCTTGAAATAAATGAGGCCCGCGGGGGTTGTTTAATAGAGATTTACGTTAAACGGGATTTTAGACCGAAATGTCAGCAAATTCACCAGGCCACTTATAAAATACCCTTATATTCGTTGTGTAGGCTTATCCTCGCGGGGTGTAATTATTCAAGTCTCTTTTGTTAGAACAAAAACAAATGGCAAGTGTGCCTCTGAATTTATCAAGCTTCAGCTCTTGATAGTATAAACAGGTGGCCAGTGTTTCTAAATGCACGCGACACAAATCGTTGTTGGTTCGTAGCTGTTGCGGTGTGGGTATAGTTGAATCTTTTGTTTCCTGTCGTGAAATTATCAAGCCATCCGTATAAACCGAGGAACTACACTTTGATAGTGTCGTTAACTGTTCAGTTCTTGTGCAAAGTACCCGCCGTTCGTTCCGAGAACGAATGACATTGCATTAAGGCGTACATGATGAATATTACGGTACTCTTCAAAGTGACTAATTCTGTTTTACCATTGTCCAGGCCCTCCTCCAATGAACATGATGGCGCCGTCACCCGCCGTGCCAAACTTGCTAGATGGAGGAGGACCGCTGAATCCATCTCCTGCTGGGCAGCCGGCTCTCCTTCAGATGAATCACGAACCCCTTGCCCTTCAGAATCAGGACTTCTCTACTGGTTTGTAACACTTTATCAGTTATTCTTCAATACTGCATATATACTAAGTACATTCTGTACTTGTAACAAGAACTAGGGTTGTTATTTTTTGTTTAGTACCTTGGATAGCTACAGTACTCGCCAAATTTTGATAGCTGTTTTTATCTCACGTTTTTGAAAAAATGCGACGCCCAATATTGGGGACATGGAGAGAATGCAGAGAGGAAAAAGATCTTATGACGTAAAAATTTGAAAGAGTTAGGAAACTTTGACGAGTATCCTACGAAACTCGGTTTTACAGTACAAGTTCCAGCCTTGTAGGTATCCATGCAGCGCATGATTGTCTTTCGACTTTTGATTTGCGTTTCTGGCATTCCTTGCTATTAGTTGGTTGTGAGAATACACAGGACATACATTGTAAGATTAATGTCTTCGCCTCCTTCATCGAAGCCAATAGAAGGTGTTCAAGCACAGCCAGCATGATCAATAACGTTTATTAATGTAAGGGGAGCGTAGTCTGCAGTGCAGTCAAACCCGGTTAATGGCTGTTTTCGCACTAGACACGTATTATCCGTCCGAGACGGGTTATCGCGTTATCGGGTTATTCGCGTCAGACAGATAATACGTCTTAATTTGAAAATGGAACGGTCTTAATTTTGCATGGACAATCCGCCTGACTTTATCCATGTGTTTGCCATCAGTTTTGACGGATTTTGAAGATGTATTAACTGTCCGTAATAACAGGTGTCCGTAAAGCGGGGTTCCAGTGCATTGTACTGTGTGGCTCCGAATTTTGCCCCGTCGTGTTACGAAGTGTGTTGATTCAATATTTCGTAACTATGATTTTAAGTCGGAAAAAGTAAATTGCAAAACACCCTCGGCTATAGTAATTATTGCAATCAATCATGCAGTGATGCTCTGAACTGAAGCTTGTCTTCTCTCTTTATAGGTTTCCCTTCCATAACAGCGTTTGAGAGCAATGGTCTAAAGATTGATTTCGCTTTCGAAAAGGTCCCAGGCAACCCATCTAATGTGGTGTCTATTATGGTAACAGCTACAAACTCACTCACCTTTCCCATGACTGACTTCGTATTTCAAGCCGCTGTTCCTAAGGTATGGACTTATAGTTATACTGTTTTCTTGACCATTTTTTCAATTGTCAATTGTTTTTCAATTTTTCAGAACTCCAAGGGGTGACCCCCGCACCGCAGGGTAGTTGTCCTAATATCTGCTCAATTTTTTTCAGTCATCTGTAGCCTCACATGAAGATCGTTACCTAACTAGACTCTCCCACTGGCTTGTCACACACCGCTCTTACTTGTGACTTCTAGCGGGTTGAAGTGATAGGTGATCTGCCAGTGAGACAATAAGAGAGACAAGGTAGTCTTATTCACAAGCCTTATTGGCTTCCCTGGGCTCCCTTCCCTCAACTTTTTTGAAAATTTTATACGTATATTTTGTTTGTATGACGAAAATGATAATGAAACAAAACAATAAAACAAAACAAAACAAGTCACCTAAAGAGGCCACCGTTCACATCACCAAAAGATCATATGTCCCATCTAAATATGTCTGCAACAGAATCATGCAGGTTATGACAACTCATGTCCAGGGTGGATCTTTGTACTGTAAGATGAGCAGTTCAATTGTATTCTCCGCCAACTGAACTGAGCTGATGTTTTGCCACACCCCTAGGCATCACTCGTTTGAAACTCGAGTCAATGCCCCGGAGGTTTTCACAGGGCTCCACCTTAGAGTAAACTACTGAGTGATCGCTTCTTCGTGACTCTTGTCTAGCGTACTGCTGATGATGAAGAACCAACAAGGGAGACTTGATTCAGACTTGTAGTTAACAGTGAAAATGAACTCAGTGTGATTCACCTATTTTGTACTATTTTCTCATGTTCATAGACATTCCAGTTACAGCTTCAAAGCCCGTCTGGTAATGTCATACCGCCAAATAACTCCGGAGCTATTAATCAAGGACTTAAAGTCGCAAACCCTCAACAGGTACAATCGTGCTTCTTGCACTTTCACTTGTAAATTTTGTTTTCAGAACATAGCCTTCTTCTGCCCTGTGTAACGTGATCAGTAGGGGAATGACATTGAGGAGTTTTTATCCTGGTTTTATTTATACGGTTTTTAGGATATTAGGATGTAATATATACAGTGAAACCTCAATATAGCGAAGGGCCAAGGGACTGGCAAAATGTGCTCTCTATAAGGAGCTTTTGTATATCAAGGTTCTGTCCCGTATATTTTACTATTAGTGGGGTAAAGAAAATCATTTGTCATACCGAGGACTTCGTTATATAGAGGTTCATAACTTTGAGTTTCCACTGTACCTGATTCAATGAAGTTTGCTTTGGGTATTGGGCAATTGCCCACTGGGAAGCTATTGTTTGCTGGTCACTCCGAAGCAAGTCGTTGCAGTGGGTTTCGTTTACCCAATTGCCGAAGCAGCCTTTATTGAATAAGGTATATATTGCAGTTGATTTCCAGTCCCAAGGGCACTTTTTTTGGGGGAATTTTATTGTTCACGAGCATTATTTTCCGAAATTGCTTTTGCGCATCGTCGTTTTTGTCGTGGATTAGTACCGTTGGAATCCTCAGCTTACTCCTGGGTTAATTTATAAGCAACCAGCCAATCAGGAGTAGAATCAACGTCACGTCATTGCCTTCAAGCTCACCAAAACATTCCTGATATCCGATTCGCCATTCTTATTGGCTTCCGTTTATAATTGGCCCAGAATACATTATCTTAGCTTTGACTGGCAAGAGATTGGTCATAGGAAGCCCCTGGGGGGTACTCCTGGGAATTCTTGTTGGGGGTGTGCCGCCCGGTTCTCCAAATCCTGACCCTATTTCAGACCAAAAAATGTAATTTTCCACACCCTTTTTCAGACCACACCTCTAAAATCCATACCCGTTTATAGACCTGGCCTTTAGGCAGAAATTATGTTATCATTACTTAGATTAAACCGCAAACAAAACAATTCTTTAAATCCTTGTCGAATTCGCATACTTCTCTTTCTTTCTTACTAATTGGGAATTGAAACGATCAATACGGTCATACACTACGTGGTTCCCTCAAAAACCATACCCGATTCCAGACCAAAATGGGCAAAGTGTATACCCGTTTTCAGACCAAAACGGCGCAAAAACCCTACCCGATGGGGCAGTACATTACTATATGGCTTATATAAGGAAGTACCCCCCCCCCCCGGGGAGGAAGCGGGGCTTTTTATTTAGGTATTTCGTGGTTTCTATCACTCGTTTTAATTGGGACCAGTCGTTACTGCTCATTCATGTAACTTTCTTTCTGTTGGGCCATATTGTTCACTGAAAATAACATTCAACATTCAAGAACTTTTTGGATCCTGATATTGGTGCAGCTGCCCCTGAACTGAACACATTTGTCTTCTATTCTGTTTTTGTTCAGCTGGCTCTCGGGCTCTTTAACTCTATCCGGGGCTAAGTCATTTTGTAATCATTTGTTTATTTTGCGTGAAATTGTCAGCTGTACTACAGAGTGTTGTTTACGTTGTCGTGTATGAGGTTGTTTAACCTGGTTCCCAACGTGACTACTTGATGAACACGATTGGGCGTGAGGATTTTTTTGTAGTTTCTTTGAACTTTCACGTTTTCACTGTTTATTGGAACACAATAATCAAACTCTTGGCAAAAAAGTTGTTATTGAAATCAGCCTCGTTGGTCGGCTGATGAAAGTTTGTTTGATAACACGTGAGAGTTGAAGCACTGCCGGCCACACACATGTTCAGTTGACAGCAGCCTTCCTGTTGAAGATAGCCTGTTGAAAAACAGCTGGTATTTTTGTGCCTTTTACAGTCGAGCGCGAATCACGAGCCCCAAAGGAAGCGATCGCCTGTCAAACGTAGATCTGAAAATAACAGTCGGCTGTCGGGCAATGTCGACTTAAATTGGCCCGTGTCTTCAGTCTTAATTTTGGTAGGTAGTAAATACCAAAGACTATAATTTTGCAATTGAATAGATTCCACGTATGAATTGTCATAACGACGAAATAACATTGTTGCAGTGAATTTACGGCAGTCTACCTGTGAATCAGTTACTTACCATGCACATTTTTCGTTGCAGACGCGTAATGCGTCCTTGATTGAGTCCTACCACATTTTTGTTTTGTGCGATCAAAATGGTGACTTAGTCGGACGTATGCCCTTTCAAAAAAGAAAAAAAAAACCCGCCTGTTTTGCAGTGTACTAAATTTCCACTCAACTGGTTTAGAAGAGAGTGATGTAGTCTAACGTTACTGTTTACTCTGTTGTGTCCGTGCACATGTTTCCGACGAAGTTTCCAATATGCCCTCAAAACTTGCTGGTTTTAATTTGTTTTCTCACGTGTAGCGATAAATTATTTCTGTTTCACAAGCCGCTTTTCTGCTCTGTTGCTTAACCTCTCCATTAAATAGCTTGTTACCGCCCACAGGGCTTTGTCTTCGTAGAAGTGAACGCCTTGTTGTTCTATTGATATCAACACGTTCTTTCTTGTTTCTGTTATTCAGGAGTTTGTATGCGGTTTGTTGTGAGCATTTGTGTGTTTTCTCCTAATAAAGAGCTTCTCTGCCTACGCAATTGGACCTTTTGTCTGAAAATTATGTTAAATACTCTAACAGTTCCCAGCCGACGCCAAGTTAATAAAACCTGTTTCATTTGGCGTCCATGTTAACGGGTGCTTTTTTCAATTCTTTATTAAAGCAGTCCTTCGACGTATTGTTAAGGTTGTTTTCTTGTCGGCGAAGCTTTTTATGTTAATACTTTACTTGTTGTAATGCATGCCGTTTATTGTGTTTCTTCTGACTGCTGAATGCACAGTCCTAAACCAAGTAAACTGTAATAAAGAAACCCAGTGTGGGTTTGAGTGAAAGGAACAAGTTGATAAATAAACGTTTTGTTAACTCTTTCCGCTCTTAGATGTCAGACATTTTGCTGTAAGCAGCTTTTCGTTTATGCCCGCAGGATTTTAAACCTTTGATTGGTGACGTCAACGCCATCCATTTTCTTTTGAACGCTTCTGCTCAGAGCTTCTCGTACGTGCTTCACAGTTGTATAACCACTCCGCTAAATCAATCCAAGATAAAAAAAAAAATTAAACTCAGTGCAGCAGAATAATTTATAGAACGTCAACGCCATTCTTTGGTATGGAACGCTTCTGCTCAGAGCTTTTTTACATTTGTACAAGCACGCCCCAGTGCAGCAGAATAATTTATAGAACAACACGGCCAAAGTATTCCTTGTAGCTTCTATTTGTTTCCTTTTTGCAGAAACGAAAATAAAATTCACCTTGAATTTTAATTCTAATAAATGTAAATAGCGGAGCTGTGAAGGACGTTTGTTTTGTCAAAGTCGCTGTCTACGCGGATCTTTTGGAATATCACCTGAACAAAACTAAAAGCCCTATATGAATCACGTTATTATTTTAGGCTTTGTTATCTTTGAATTCATCCAAGAACGTCGAAGTTAGAGCCGAGACCGAATCCTCTCGATAGTTTTCCTGTCTTCTTACCACTCCCGTCTGACGTCTGTAAAATATTAAATTTGGTTACTTACACAACTTTCACTTCAAACATGACATGGACTGGATAAGGCTAGGCGATAGAGTTTTTCAGACGGGCGGAACTTCCCCGCGCGGAGCACCGCGGGTTAGTAAAACTGGTTATCTATCCATGCCAGAACTTTTGATTGTCACGTGACCGTCCGTCAACCTGCCCATGTAATCTATCGTGGGATACGTGTCAAAGTCAATTGACTGGATGACAACTATCAAAATGGTTATCCGCGGCCATTTTCACGTTATCGTAGGTCCAGGGTCACCATCGACAATTTTTCATTGCGGGATCGCGAGCACAAAGTGGTATTTTATTTTGCAGGGGTATTAACAGGACAACTCGGATTAATATTAATCCGTGGATTATAATAATAATAGATTGTAATATGGTTATTATAATCCGGTAATAGATTATTATAATCCAGTAATAGATTATTATAATCCAGCAATAGATTATTATAATCCAGTAATAGATTAAGGCACGGCAAAAATTGGAAGGATTAGATTATTATTAATAATAATCATCCGGATTAATATTAATCTCTATTATAATCCGGGTGAGTGCAGCACCGGAAACAATAATTGGAGGAGGCTGGATTGTTGAAGCTGAACAGTCGGCATCATTCTCCCAGATAAGAGATGGCGACATTCTTGTTAAAGTGAATGACAAGGCATGTATAAAGTATCGTTATCAACGCATACAGGATATGTTGTCTGCAAGTCACTTCCCAACATAACTCTAGAGTTCTTCCGTCCAGCAGAAATTGGTGCCAACACTTCAGTCAATCATACGCCTTCGTGGATGCCACCAGCTAACCCATCAACAACAATGGCTCCTTCTATGACACCAATCCTGAAACCCAGTCCTCTAACACGAACTCCTACTTTAAGTCCAGCATATACGCAGACGGTCCAAATCATGAAATGCTCCCTGGGAAATAACTATCTCTATGGATCAAACTCAGAAAGACTGAGTCTTTTAGAAATAACTGGAAAAGATTCAAGGATTTCCTTTGATGATGTGCGCACTGACATCCCTTTCACTTTGTTATTTTTTTTATTACTTAAGATCTTTATTCTATTCTACGTTAAAAATCTTCATGGCCCTGCAAAAAATTCAGTTGCAACTGTATTACCAGGAGAGCTGAGACAACTGCTGACTTCTGCTACTAAAATATAATAACGTATGATAAGGAGTGCGGTTATTGACTGAATGTAATTAAGAGTTTTGTTCACAAACTACTAGCACAAGTAGCAAATTCGTCGTGGTTAGAATAGAATACAGCTGTTTCGAGAAAGGTTGTCGGGAAAAGTGCACGCGACAGTCCTGAAAGGCATTGTGGGTGGTTTTGAGTTCTCTTGTTTTCAAAGAAATTTGAAAGAATTGGTACGAAAGGCCATGGAAATGTGTTTGCGAGTGCTAAAGGAAAGCAACAGAAGTAGGTTCGACAGCTACAGTCGTCAGGAACAGTGTATTGATCATATCCCATATTACCTTTCGGGATTGTCGCGTGCACATTTTTTCCGACAACCTTTCTCGAAATAGCTGTATTTTCTTTATTGAGAGACTTGTAGGAATTTGAGCTATGTGGGATTATATTTATCAGATTAATATTAATCCTAATCGTTTAAGGTACGGCTCAAAGCTCAGTTATGGATTATAATAATCTATTATTGGATCTAATATTAGGATTAATATTAATCTGATTAATATTAATCCTACATAAGATTAATAGTAATCCTAATTGATCAAGGCACGGCTCAAACCTCAGTAATGGATTATAATAATCTATTACTGGATTATAATAATCTATCACTGGATTATAATAATCAATTACTGGATTATAATAATCATTAGGATTAATATTAATCCGATTAATATTAATCCGAGTTGTCCTGTATTAATAGTCTGCTACACAGCCGTTTTTAGTGCCGTCAGGCAACCCTCCTGACGTGGCGACACTAAAAACGGCCGTGTAGGAGACCAGGGTATTAAGGGCTTGGGCAAAGGCCTTTGGCTTGGGCGGAATTTTGTGATCTCGTCTGGAAGTGTATGCCGGGGTGCTCGGTGGCTTCCACGAGTTTGTTTTAATGACAAGTATTTAACGGAAGCTCCCTCTTTGGGCTTGGCTAAATCTGTATGTGTATTATCAGGAGCTGTTACGTGCGGTAAGACTCTCTCTTCCCTTCCCAGACATTCTCCATCCCCACCATATAATCGTCTGTAATTATTATACGACTTTGCGAAGCTATATCTCGGTTAGTTTTCAACAAATCACTTTCAAACTTGATGTGTGATTTTATGGCACAGTACTAAATGAACCCCAGGTAGAAGCCGAATGGTTTGCGTATCTCAGCTTCTCTTTGCCTCCCCTGCTCTAAATTTGTTCTGCTTTGTTTCCATAGCAACCTTTACGAATGAGATTAAAAGTGACATACAAGATAAACGGCGCAGCCGTGAATGAACAGGGCGAAGTCAACAGCTTTCCACCTGGACTCTGACGGGACCCTATTTTATGTAAAAATTATATTTTGTATGGTAAATGCTGATTAACGTATACTTCCCAGTCGCATTCCTGGACGTCTGTAGATTACTATTGACAGGCACATTAAAATAGTATCTACAGTGATGTAAAAGTTGCTCGTCGACACCCAAATTCTCCTTACGTTTTAATGATAGAATTATGTAAGCTAGTGCAATACGGAAAATCGTCAGTTGAGCGGCAGGAGATTTTATATTCTCATAAGATGTTGTATGTGATAATAAGCTACTCGTAAGGAGAATTTGTTTGTTGATGTAATGGTTTGAAGGTTGAAGAACAAAACAGTTAGCCCACGACAAGATTATGCTTCTTTAATTTAGGAATATTCGCCATGGATATAGAAAAGTTAATTTACTCTTTGGGGTGTGGTAAACCATAGATTTGCTGAATTTTCCTCCCAACCTTCTGAAGTCCCCGTCGGATTTTTTTCATGTAAGTCACGTGATTCGTGACTGTGTAGGATGAGCAGACGATTAAAAATTCCTAGTTTAAAGTCAGTTTACGCTACTTATTACTTTTAAGTTAGATGTCTGTAAACAAAGCTAATAGTAAAATAGAAATCTTGTCAAAGGAAAATGATCCAATAAGCCGACGATTTCGAGCATTAGGAGCATTAAAGGAAACAAATCCTTTGGCATCGAAATTGAACTGGTACGTAATATGACGGACCAAACTGTTTCATTGATATAGTGTACATGTCGTTGTTACTAGCGTGGTGCGTTGTTTTTAAGCTTCAAAATTCTGTCCATTAGTCGAGAGGCCTAAGTAAACCTGACGCGCCGAAAAACAGCGCCCAGGAAGCCTGATCCTTCTAGAGAGCTTTCAAAAACAGTTCTGGCGTTATATAGTCGACAAAAATAACATAATTTGTCCCATGTGGTTTTTAGTGCACAAATTGACCTGACTTACCAGGTAGCTAAGGATTTTGTGTAAAACAACAATTCAAACTTCGATTCAAACTTCGTCTTCTCTGTCCGTGAGATTTTCCAGATATTTTGGCGTTAGGTTTTGTGACACGCCAGGTTAGAGGCGAGGTAGTTGGATTGAATCCTTAACTCCATTACAGTGATAAAAACTTTCCCTTCCCTTGTCTCATAGAAGTGGAGTTGCGAGGTTGCTTTATCATGATATCTTAAGCTCCTTGGTAGCAGATTAAACTTTTATTTTACAATAAGCTGATCGCCTCAATCATGTCAGAAATGTATTTTTGAGGTAGACGGTCAGAGGCGAGGAAAATACAATGTCAGCTTTGATAGAAGCAGTAAAATAAATGAATTCTCAGAGTAGACAACGAAACAAAGACTATTGTCATGTTCTTTTTATAATGATCACAAGACTTGTCCCAGTTTACCATATCGTGGATGGACCGTTTTGTTCTGCCCTCGGTAAGATACAAGACAAAATGTACCAGTTACTTAAGTTTTTCGTTTTAACAGAAGTTAATCCTTTCACAGACAGAGTGAATCACGGAGTCTCGTCCGGTGGTTCTTAATCTTGAGTCTTTTTACAAAATCCTTTGTGTGACCATTCATATGAAACCTCTTTGAAAGTACTTTCACGTTGGTTTTCAGCATTTTACACGATGAAATTTGGACATTTTGTTGAATTTTCGTTAAATGGTACTTTTCTCGGGTCGTAGAAAATAGCTGAGTAGGAAAACTTGTTTATTGTTCAGCGACATTGAGCGGTCGAACTAGGAGAGTGTTAAAATACTATGCTGGTTCAACTAATCCTAGTTTCCAGGAGCCTCGAATTCAAAATTTGGACGCGGAGAACAAACATATGCCAATATACTCATTAAGTAAGAAGAACCTTTGGGTATTTTAGGAGCCATATTTGTTTCCCTCTGGAGCCTATTACCAGTGTAGGTCCACTGTTTCAAAATTTGGCCCTTCTTTCTGCCGTCTTCGTTTTCTCCCATAGTGAAAATATGCGGACGCGACAGAGTAGTTTTCACGGCAAAGCTTGGCCTAAAATAACCCAAAGTATAAAGGTCATAAGTGAGAGATGGAAACTCCATGGTAATTGGCTCCTGTTTCCATTCAATCTGGAGCGAGGCAAGTTTCAATCGGAGCTATGTGCAACTGGCTAAACCCCGAAAAGGTTCTGGGGATGAGCAGTCGCATGCTCTGAACCGGTTTGAAATAAGAAAAGAAATCACAGTTTTTGACTTCCTTGTCGGCATGAGACTTCACTTCGTGAAACGCTGCATGATTGACATAAATCGGAGCGGTCGCTGAGTTTTTGGTTAAAGACCAGCGATCTCTAAGGATTTATGGATACTAATCTTTCCTGTGCTACATAGCATTAATTTTTTTTACACTACTACTCGTTCTTGCAAGGCAAGATTCATTTAGAGAGGAAAGCCTTAAAGGGGCTGTGTCACGGCGGTCCAGTTCATTTTGTTTAATTTTGCCAATTACTCGCCCTCAATCGCTATGGAAATTAAAGTAAGCAAAGAAATTACAGGTATATGACAAAATCAGAGATCCGAGGCAAACAAATTTCAAGCAGAAGGAATCAACTTTGAAAAACTGCCAGGCTGAACAGTTTTCAACAACCCTAATTTCAATCCGTTTCAATCTTCTTCAGTTTTGCCCATGCGTGGTATCTGTTGTTTCTGTTATGTTATTTTAACCGTCCTTTAAAGTTTCAAGCCTTTATTTTTATGTTTCTCTTAATTTAACGCGCATTTTGTAATTTCCTAATTTGACTGAATTTCGTGACACAGCTCCTATAATGTAAGTGTAAAATAACCATCGCGTATCTTTTTTAAAACATGTTAAATCTGGAAAAGCTGATATGAAAATAAACGATGAGTTAAACTGAGTAAAAACTGACTTTTGATTTAGCGGTTTTGTTTCTTGGAGCACTCCAGCGGACACGGTAATGTAATTGATTCGTGATGTTGCCTTCGCGTTTTAAGCCTAGGGTTCAGTTGTTCGAAGGCCGATTAGCGCTTAACCCGGGGTTAAATTTAACCCGAGTTTCTTTTTCTTGTGTTTAAAAGCATTTTCTCGGATAATTTTCTCTGTTATTTTTAGAGCTCCAATCCTCCTTCAACGGAGGAATTAAATAGACAACATCAAGCCTTGAAAACTGCGTCCGTGAAATCGAGAATGGAAAGTATTGATTCCACTCTACCCTCGGATCTGCTGCGGTCAGTTAAGCAATCGAGAGACAAGGGTGCGAGCTCATGGCTCACCGCAATGCCCCTTGTCGATCAAGGCTTGGTGCTGAATAAACAAGAATTCAGAGACTCTCTGCGTTTAAGGTATAATATGCCCCTTTCCGACTTACCAAGCAAGTGTGTTTGTGGTGAGAAGTATTCCGTCTGCCATGCCCTGTCATGCAAAAAGGGAGGGTTCGTCTCGCAGAGACACGATGGTGTTCACAACCTACTTACCTCTCTTAATGGTAAGGTTTGCACCAACGTTGAAGTCGAACCACACTTACCTCTCGATAATGAGCGATTCAACCTCAGAAGCGCGGTAACAAGCCCGGAGGCAAGACTGGACTTTAAGGCCGGGGGCTTTTGGTCTCGTGGAGTTACAACATTTTTTGTTGTCAGAGTAACGCATGTTAACTCCAAGTGTAACCGGGGAAAAACACCACCACAATCTTTAAGGAGCAGGAGGAGGAGAACAAGCGGAAGTACCAATAGAGGGTACTGGACGTTGAAATGGGATCTTTCACTCCCCTAGTTTTTCGAACCAACGGTGGGATGGGAGCCGACTGCAACTGCTTTCTCAAACACCTAGCCGAGAAGCTCTCAGAAAAGAATGAGGAACCTTATCACATTACTATTACTTGGATTAGAACAAATTAGCAAAAGATAGTCCTCTGTTCACGAGAACAGTTTTGCAAATCCTTTTTCGGATTTCCCAATCGAAGGACAAAAAGGGAAATCCAAAAAATCCGGATTTGGATTTCTTAATTGAAATCCATCCTATGGACGGATTTCTCGGAGGTGAAATCCGTTTTCGGATTTCGCGTTCGGTTGGGAAATCCGGATTAAGGGGTTTGAAAATCTAAATCCGGATTTCCCAATCGAACGCGCCCTTTTAAATAAGCAATTCAAGGATTACAAATAACAATTAAAAATTCCTATGATAATGTATTTTTAGCCTTTATCGACTAAAATTGGTTTTTTGGTCTGATTCAGTCGATTGGTTCGACGCGTCCTAAGTTCGACATCTGACAGAAGATCTTAACTTAATTTAGGTCGACACAAATTAGAGTTTGGTTCTTCTCATGAGAAGTTCCACACTTGTTAAAGTAACTTTCGGTAGGATATCGTTGTTTATAGTTTTTGGAAAGTACAGTTTATTCTCGTGAACGAATCTAGCAAAGCTGTTACGCTACTTCTGGCAATTTTAACAATGTGACCGAACCGAAAACCTAACTCCAGTAAGAAAATTCAAAACTTGAAAGTTACTTTATAACTCAAAACTATGTTTTTTTAAGAAGACTATTGTTTGGGGAGTTCATCTAATCCAAAAGTAGGGCGCGAAATATCTTGCATTGCAGTAGGGGTTAAACGCTACTTTGTAAGTGGTCAGTGGTGTGTTTTTTAGCCCTTTTGTCCAATGGTAATCGGGATATCTACAGAACAGAAATTGTAAAAAATTGCAGATTGGTTATTAGCAAACAAATATTTTTATCTCCTGTCTAAATGTAAACTGAAAAACTCCTTTCATGGTTTTTAAAGCAAAAAATAACAAACTGCATCAAAATATGTCTAAAATGATCAATGTGCAGCAAATTGAATAATTTACCTATACAAAATGTTTACGGTTGTATATTGGCGAAGAACTCTCTTGGAAGTATATAAAAATCACGTAACAATGAAAATATCAAAATTAACATAGGGTGAGTATATTTGTCGCTATTGGGATACCTTATTTAGTTAAGAGTATGCAAGCCGTGCATGGGATCCATACATGGAAAACCTGTAAGTAAAATCAAAGGGGTGCAATGCAGTTCAGAAAAGTTTGTAAATGCCAAAAGCTTGCACCTGGACTGTCATGCAAGTAAGCTTATATAGGCTGCCACTACAGCAAAGAAGCTACATGGAAGCAAGACTGTTACTGATGCATACGCGCGGTGGTAAATGGTTTGGAGCTCCTGGTCCTACTTTATGAAGACAATACTCTCCACAGAGATTTAAATATAGGTAGCTACACTCAAAAAACATACAGCTAATAAACGCCTGAACATAAACAGTCTGCCTGCGTCCTGCAAGGGTACTTAAGCCAAGAGACTCGGAGACATCATGCTGTGCGAAGCTACTTTTGATCACTATTGTCAGCGGTCTTACTGTAACTTATATTTAACAATTATTCCATGAAGCTCCATGAGCGCTCGTTGAATATGAGGTGGTAAATAGGCAACGAGGCGCGTAGCGCCGAGTTGGCTATAGCTATCTCATATCCAACAAGCGCGAATAGAATAATTGTTTGATCAGGGTTGTGGGCTCCTGTTTTATTGCATTTTTCTGAACTCCAAACGTTTGGGTATCACAACTGAATTTTAAAGTTCATTTTCAATATTAAAACTTCTGGTAAACCAAGGGAAAATCACATGACATGTGAGCCGTTTGCGAACTTAGTTGAATGAAAAATCTGAAAGGGAAGGACGCTGTGCTTAAATTTATTATTCTCGGGATTTTAGTCTCGGCTTAACACACCAAAGTTATTAACAAAATGTGGTTTTTAGCCAAAAATTCTAAGGTAAAGGAGTCTATTATGCCAAAATATCAGTAATCAATGTATTATCATTAAAGCTTTGATACAAATATAAAGGGCAAGACATACGAATTGAAAACTATTTATTTATTTAATTTTTTAATCTTCTTATTATTCTGTCCATCCAGTCTTCTTGGCTCGTTGCAATCTCACATAACACCTGTAACATCACTAGCCTTGTCGACGCTCTGATGGATCACATAGGGTAAAAAGTGAAAAATTTAGGATCTGATCAGAGCCTTTCAAAATAAATTATAAGGTTTTCAACACTTGACTTTTCAATCAAACTACTAGCCTGTTCACATACCCTCTACTTTCTCTTTAAAGTCCTAAAAAATGCGGGGAATTTATTGACCACCAGCGAAAGGGGGTACCTCCTTCTCACGTTTCGCACTCGCTGATTATCCAAAGGAACGAAAAGAAAAATAAAACAACGTCTGTGTACAGGTTATCAAACTACACAATAGAGGCTCTTGTATGGTGGCCCACAACTGTCACGGCAAAACCAAAAACCTCACGGCAAAAACAAAATACCTCACGGCAAAACCAAAAACCTCACGGCAAAACCAAAAACCTCACGGTAAAAACAAAATACTTCACGGCAAAACTAAATACTTCACAGCAAAAGCAAAATAGCTTTGATTTTGCCGTGGGTATTTGCTTTTGCCGTGAGGTATTTGATTTTTGCTGTGAAGTATTTGGCTTTGCCGTGAGGTTTTTGTTTTTGCTGTGAGGTTTTCGGTTTTGCCGTGATGTTTTTGTTTTTTGCCCTGAGGTTTTTGGTTTTGCCGTGACAGTTGTGGGCCACCGTACACTTGGGATTCAATTCTACTCACAATAAAACGAATAACAAAGGTCACGAAGAGTAATTACAACGAGTACTTACTAGCCTGGTAAGTACTCGTTGTAGAATTTATATTTTTTTCTTTCTCTTCCAATATTTCACTGAGAATCATAATTCATCGTTAAAAGTTCTGGAAGATTTTACTTCCGTTTAACAACTGAGGCATGCGCAGTACAACCGGAACCGCAGGATTTCTGCGGTCGAGATTTGGGGTTCATCAGGATCAGGATCTGTGATCCGAGATAACTCGGATCAAATGTAGATCAATGAACCGATGAATCCTTCATCATGATCAGAGTTATCTCGGATCACTTACCCTCATCAGGATCATCTCAAAGGATGTCCTCAGAGTCTTCCCTTGCGTTTCCCCGCTGACCAAAAAGCCAGAAGACTCTGGTTACGAGATTGACAAATACTTGAAATAACATCGACAAAAAAAAGACCATAAGCCGTGTCGTTCAATGCAATACTAGCTGAGTCTATTACAGATTTAACATTTTTTTAGCAATATAAACTGGAAACGACAATATTGACCGTTATACAACTCAAACTAACTCATATATAACATCCTCGCTGCGATCGATCAAGTGAGCGGAAGTCGAGGGGATCATTTCAGTCATTTTGTAAGACCCCGCTGACATATAGATGACTCATCTGGTTTAGGTCGATGTTATCTAGTGCAGAGACGCCTCCTTCCTCCTGGTGTAGCCTGAGTATCAGGCCTAAGGGGCTACAACTGTTGCTGTATTACCGTTCATCAAGTTTGTCCTTCAAAGACAACGCCTGACTGTGGCTTATGCTTTACAGCTTAGATGTTGTGAACGTGGGATTGGCATTTTTGCCCGATGAAAACGTTACTTTCTGTTTACTAAAGAAGACGACGATATCCTGTTCAGGCAAGTATCCACCACATCTTTGACCTCCATTGTAACGACTTCCAATCGGTAAACGGTCGATTAGTACCCAGTGAGTCGAACATGAAGAGTTCATGAATGGTAACGACTGACCATTGAAATCAGGAGGTCTGATTTTCCAACCATATTCTACAAACTCTCTGCTGTGTTTTACAATGTTGTAATGATGTACCCGATACTTAATATCCTTTGGGCGAGGAGTGAGAGTTTCGTTCCGAAATTGTTACTCGGTCTATTAAATCATTCAGTCAACTAAGCACTGAAAGTAAAAGAATCGCAAAACAAAGAGTACTAGAAGTACGAGTAAAGTGGCTGATTCAGCGCATATAGACCAAAGTATAGAAAACGTTGGATTCATGAATTGAAGCTGCGCTCTTGCAAAGGCGGAAAAAGTAAGGTTTTAGATTAACCAGACTGTCACAAATCATTAATCATTTAAATTTTTTAGTTCTGAAAGATTCAAAATTTTTCTTCACAGTTCTGCTTTAGGAAGTTAGACCTTGGTTACTAATAGACTGTAAGTTTGATTGATTTACCGTGTGCCACAAATTTGTCGAATATCTTTACCACAGCTAAACGTTTATAGCTGTATACGTACTTTGTGACAGTAGTCTCCTTTTAGCCCAAAACATATCGCACTCCGGGATTGCATCCTGACTGCAGCAAATGATTATGAGGAACGCGAGTATAACATTTATTTCTGTGCCATTACTTATTCTAAATTCTAAGAAAACGAGCGTCGAAATATTATAATATCATGTCATCGAGCAGGATGTTTTGAAGTCACATGATCACTAATTAGGGACTTTAAGGTACGATCGCCTGGGACGGTTAGATAGATGTCGCGTCACGCAATACACGCGTGACATTTTACCGTCGTCCTTCTGGGACGTCCGGAGTAGTCAATCGATAAAAATCGGTATCGATTTATCGACAATAATAAGTCTATCTGATTTGATTGATATCGACTGTATCGATCAATCGGAAAAAATCGATGACACACTCGTTTCGTTTATCGATTTATCTAGATTTTACTGATTCCATCGATTTATATCGGAAGATACATCTGTTCTTCTGTTCGTCCAAAAATGAAAACTGATTTGATGCAAACAGTGAATTTGTTTACAATGGAGTTGCAATTGAGAGTCGAAGGATCAAACAATTTATTATCCCTTTTTTAATAAAAAGTTAAAAAAAATCTTATCTTTTCCTTAAAACCCGCTTCAAAGTCTTCTTGTGACGGCCGATATTGGCCAGGTTTGTAGGCGCCCAGTTTTTTCACGATTTAGATCTGCCACCCTTTCAAAATAACATCAGTTCGTCGTGTAGTTACTTGCCGGAGTAGCCAATAGATAAAAATCGAAATCGATAGAAATCGTTAGCGATCAAGTGATTTTATCGAGTAATAACGGAAAACGGTGAAAAGCTATCTAGGGAAATCTTTTAGCCTGAATTTTAGGGCATTCCTTCGACTCTAGAGGATGTCTGAAATTCAGGCTGGGAAATCTTTTATCTAAGACTGTATTTCTCGTGGTACTTGTCTGCGAGAACTGCGAATGTAATTAAACCGAACTGTTTTTGTTATTATGTACAAAAGGATCACAGTTTCGGAGAAAATCTTGTGTCTGTAATAGTTTCCACATTTCTTATTTTCATGTTTGTTGATCAGCTTTTACTCGTGGATCTGTTTTCTCAGCTGTACTACTTAACTTATCCCAAAAACAACGTCGGACTTAAAATCATAAAAAATCGATAATATCGATTTGACACAGCAATTTAATTTATCGATTTTCACCAATTTCCGTTATCAATCGATAAAAATCACTTGATTGCCATCGATTTTTATCGATACCATTTTTATCGATTGACTACTCCGGGTCGTTTGTCATGCAACATATACAAAGCGTTCTATAAAAAAAATCCCACCTACTGAGATTACTACATTCCATACATGCGATATTCAGGACCATTTCACTGACATTCATCATCGCTCACCTTATTAATAAACATACATGCGACAGGTCAAAGTAATTGATCTCTGTTGAGCTTTATATTGCTGTATTTAATCGCCGGTATCGTCGAAGTTGCTTCGGAATTAGTTCGAGATATCTTCGAGTTCTTTGATGTATTCTTTCAGGGGAAAGAAATAATTATGAGGAAGAAATAATTATTACTTCTGAAAGAATTTCTGGCTTGCTCAGGGTTTGAACCGGCTTACGTGTGACTCGTCAGGTCAGATGAGACTCTAAATTGAGGGATTAGGCGATTGCGCCACTGCGACGAAGGGTAATTTGAGTTGTGAAAAATAGCCATAAGTTTAATATCATGCACGAGGTACGGGAATTCGGTACGTAAGTTTGTTAGGCTTGTTTTGGGTATTTGACGTAGTGACGCAGGAATGAGTTGGAGATTCGCGAGATCACTTCTAGTTCTTTTGGCTACAATAAACATTTGCGGCAGAGCGCAAAGTATATTTGCGACGCTGATGAATGTCTTCAACTTGAGTTTTGTTTCCGATGTGAGGCAGGAAGTTGTTCGAGATATCTCGATATCCAGATATCAGCTCGAGTTGTTAACCCATTCGCCCCCGAACCGCCTGTAACTGCCCGTGCGGATCCACGTCCTTTTTACCCTTTGTGACGTCATCAGTTTTAACGGTCAAGGACAACTTTGTCCACTAACTTGTGCAGAGTGAAGCGATCTTTCAAACCATACCAGAATGAGCACAATACAGTCAAGGACACCGGAGAAAGAAGCAAAAAACCATGTGACATTGACCTGAAAATCTCCATGAAAATCTTGTTCCAATGCTCACCTACCTTTCCTTTCACCTAATCCTAAGATCCTAAAAGCTTTCCTAAAAACTCTTCCCACCAAAACGAAGCCTACTAAATGCCCAGCAAGAAAAAAAAAATGAGGCAAGAAAAGTGAAAAAAGAGGGGAGGAGAGAAAGCGAAAAGTAAAAGTCTAGACTGCTGTGTCACTTTTAAACCCCCCAAAAATTTGCTTTCTGCGCATGCCCGAACTTCGCAAGCTGATATTTTGCATCTGGATCAGAAGGCCGCGAAGTGTACGACCTGTAAACCGGTTTGTGGTAAGTGTTAGCTCTTTATAGCACGACAGTGACCAGAAAACCACTCGACTAGCTTCAAGACATGTTTTCGGCAAAATCTCCAGGAGCGAATGGGTTAAGTTTATCTGAGGAAGAAAGAAATATTTTTTTTGCTCGCCCTTCGGTGTGTAGTTAGTTATCGTTGCCCTGTTAGACCGTGGAGACGAGATTGTAGCGGAAAAGTAAAAGATGGTTGATTTGTAAGTTTAATTTTTTTTTTAATTTGGGCGAGCAGGAAGTTTGCTGGAGAAGTCCGAACAGTCGGCGTGTGACGATTATTTGTTTTGGGCTTATACTCAGTGAATGAAAGTTATAGGAAACTGATTGAAACGGGAAGTGGAAAGTTGGCATTCGTGAAAACTTATTTTTGCGCAAATTGTTTTTTTATAGAGTAAAGACACTTATCAATACAAAATGAGAAATGTCAATGCTTATAAAGGGAAAAGCGTTCAGTTCCGGTCGACGTGTGCCGCTCAAAAATGGTTTGTTTTGTATGTTATTGCAGTGGTGAGAAGATATCATAAGCAGAGGATCGAAATGCACCAATCAGAGATAGACAATTTGAAGGGCGTGTTTCCTGAGAGGTCATCTGAATTTGTTACTTCTGTCATTTTATTTTCTGATTGGTTTATTGTGTAGGGCGAAATCGATGAGCGAATTACATTATAGGGAAGAGTTGGATGCTTTTGATCCGAGTGATTGGAAAGTTGAAATGAAATGTGCGACTATTGAAGAAAAGGAAGGAGTCAATATTTTTTGAAATACGTATGTTGTGTTATATGGCGACTTCACATACAAATACACACACTGTTAGCGGTAGGCCCACACCAAAAAAAGGAAATAATGCGTTTTCGGAATGGGCTGGTCCGCGAACTTAAAGTTAATAAAAGGAAATTATTGAGACAGTCAAAGACATTATGCTCAAATAGACGAAATTTGTTTTTAGAAAGTGAAGATTACAAAAGTTACATGGAGAAAAGTTTGGCGAAAGAAATGTGTATAAAGTTTAAGCGTGAAGAGATTTCGACAACTGGAGAAGATTGTAGCAGGAGTAATTCGAAAGAGAAAGAGGTGCGGTCGTTTGCGTTACGTGTAGACCAACCGATAGAGTGTCAACAAGAAGAAGAAAAACGTGGTTTCCGTCGTTTCGTAAACGTTGTGATAGGCATCATTATCATTGATCTTCTTTTAGTTTGTTTGGAAAAGTAGGTGTTTTTGTACTTGTTTTTGTATTGCGTGTTATTGTTTTTCATGTAATAATTTATGTTGCGATGTTTTACATAAATTATCCTCGGTGTGGAGATTGTTCATTTTCAGCAAGTTTTGTAAGAAGTGTACTGATGCTAGCTACGTTGCCGGAGAAGGTGTGGAGTTAACTGTACATAAGAAAGGTGTTGTAGTAGAGGAAATAGGGGAAGTACAACTGAGATCTCGTCGTGCGCAATTTATTTATGACAGAAATTATAATCGCATTGGGCTACAGCCACGCGGTCATGCACCTAGTAGACTTCCGGTGAAGAAGTTAAGACGTCTGTTACACCACAAAAAGAGAATAGTAAGGGTGTTTGTATGGAAGGGTATCCTGAAAAATACCATTTCTGACTACCGTGTGGCACGAACTTTTTGCGGTTTTGCGAAAAGCTGGAAAACACAAACAAGAAAGTTTCAATGCGACTCGCTGTTGCTTGTTTACGAAGACCTTTATCGATCGATTTTCTGGTGTTTTTAGTACAAAAATACAAAGAACAAATACGTTGAAAGTCGAATACGCAATTGAGATAAAATTTCTTTCACGAAAGTGGATTTAGGGGTAAAAATACGAGTAAATTTACTCACGTTCAGTGCTGGACGCCAAACCACGGGTTTCCACGTTCTCGACAGCATGGGGACGACGAGCCGAGCATGTGTAGTAGCGTTCAACTCGCCTTGGTCACTTCCGGTAGGTCGTTGTCGTCCCATTCGTCGTCAATGCTTAAGGTCCCTAATTAATCTACGACCACGACGCCGAAGTGTGGATTTTAAGTTTTGGAAAGTTTGGAATTTCCATGCGTTTATTTCAACAAGCCATTCGGGTTTCACTTACTGCCTCGTGACGTAGTCCACCCAAATATTTAATCAACTATCAAGCATATGCAAATTTCAAGTCTCAGATCTGTGAACTTTTAACAGTATTTTCTCAGCAGTTACCACAAGAGCCTTGGATACCTCAAATGTCTTCAAGGTCTCCTTTAACTGAATTTCGTCAGTTCTAATTCCGAAGCAGCACAAAACTTGCGCGATGAAGTAGATATGAAAGCAAGACGTTTTGGTTGGATCAAAGAGCATGCGCTGTGAGGCCCAAATAGCCAGATTTTGGCTACCCCGGAGCAGAGTTTCCCAGAGGTTAAGTGCGCATTCCTAAACCCTTAAGAACAGGGGTCGAGAATGGATTGTCGCCCTAAGAAGATTGTAGAACGCTAGCCGTTCCTCCAGAGCGAATCAAGGCATTATATGGGTTGTTTGCTGGGTGTCAATCTCTACTTCATCTCTTACCTGTTCATCATTTTTCAGTCACATCCTAACTTTGAAACCTTCTTCGGCTATTCGACTCTGAGTCTTCTGATACAGCTCTATACCCTGTGCTTGTGTAACTACCCAATAAAAGCATCATCGTAGCACAAATCAAACAAACACAGCACAAAATTTGGGTAAGAGGCTGCATAGTTTTGTATAAGATGCAGTTAGTATAATATAGGAACCGAAGTAGTTTAAATACATGTACAACTCTAGCAAACGTGTATATAACAACTTGATCTTCCAGAAGCAAATGCGTGATAAATAGAAACTTTCGATCCCATTAAGAGTGTAGGACTTCGTGCCGTATTAGCTGTATCTGATCCAGTTCTTTCTTTGTTTTGTTCCTCAATTTTTTGCTTTTACCCCCTATTTTTGGTTCTTTTACTCGACCTTCGTGAGGTGCCGCGAGACACGCATTTCTATATAAACGCAATGCACATGTCATCGGCTTACCGCTCGAGTAATACCCCCGGTGAATCAGGAGAACTGTAAATTTCTCGCATGGGTTGTGGAATTTAACAAGACCGAGTTCCTGAAGTTCCCTGGGCAACTGTTCCTCCATTTAGGGCCTGTTGACATTGAGGTGGGGGACCCAGCTAGGTGAGGTAACCCGCTTAGGTGTCTGTCCAAATAATCTCTCATTTTAATTTGATCACGCCACATGTTACCCCACCTATCTCGGGTCCCCCACCTCCACGTAACAGGCCCCAAAACTCTTTGATATCCACTTCATAATTCGGATTCGTTTGATTGAGAGGGAGTATTTTTATGAGTAGTACAGTAGCTCTTTCAGACCTCTATTTTCATTGGCCTAAATTAGCTTCAGCTTCTTCTGTCTTTAGGGTTAGGGGTATTGTTTGTGTTGAATCATCTATTGTTTCGTTCTCCAATCACAGACTATGTCTGTAGAGCTACTGACCATCTCATTTTTATTGCTTCTTGTTGACGGGAATTGGCAGGCACGACTGTTTACCCAGACCACAAAAGTATTAATGGCTTTAAGAAGGGTATGGAGCGGCGAGAAGAATTGAAGAAAGTCACTTCCAGCTCGCTACACCAAAAACACAAAACCACTCACACGATAATTGGGGATCAAATCTGACTCACTTATTTTACGCTTAAAGAAGCAATGAAATATCGGCTTCATTTAAAAAATCAGTGGAGTAAAACGTTTGGCCCTGCCCTAGCGTCGTTACCTGATAAACGACAAGAAGAGCTACAATGAGATGGCATCAGTGGTTACTTGAAAATAGCAGAATTCGAATTATCGGAGTATGTTTTGATCAAGGCCCAGTGGCGGATCCAGACCTTCAGATAAGGGGAGGGGGGGGGGGGGGGGGGGGGGGTGCCCGAATGGTAAGGAGTGGAAAATAAGAGATGAGCAGGTAAGGACAGGATGGCTCAATCGGTAGTACGTATACTGTAGGATGAGGTGATGTAGGGCGATTGGACGGGGTGAGCGAGGCGCGTAGCCGGAGGTGGGGGGGGGGGGGGGGGTGGGAGGGGTGGGCGGTCATCCAGACTCTGAGAAAAGGGGGGAGGCCAGTCCCAGAAAAAATTTTTTCCGGCCCTTCGGGCCTCAGTTTGGTGTAAAATTAAGGAGGGGGACCCGGGCCCCTCCCCTAGATCCGCCACTGAGGGCAACCAATTTTAGTTCAAGCTAGCGGGGAATTCCGAGAAAAAATGACTGAAAAGTGAAGTTATATCCCAGGGAAATGGGACTTAGTTCGAGTTATCTGTGTTCCCTTTACCAAGGCTATACTGCAGTGTGTAGACCCTCTAGGCCTTGCAAAAAATATGCTTCCTTTCTTGTAATGAAATTTACCTATTATGTTTTGTTTGTTGAAGGAGCCACAACACTCTACGATGGCGTCGAATTCAGTTGAACATCAAAAGAATGACGGATGCCTTCCATCTTCGGGTAGATTAAGTGTTCTTTTCCTTGCATCTGAATGGGGATCAAGCAAAGGAGGGTTGTCCACCATAAACAGAGAATTAGCTATAAACATAGCAAAGCATCCCAAGGTGGATGTCACCTTCTATGTTCCCCGATGCAACGACGAGGACAAGAAAGCAGCTCTTCTGGAGAAGATCAATCTTGTTGGAGCAAAAAGAGTTCCAGGTTTGGATGAACTTCACTGGCTTAGCTATCCACCTGAAAACTTGTACATTGATGTGGTTGTTGGTCATGGAGTAAAGCTTGGTCCTTACGCATGTTCCTTAAGGGATTTACGGAAGTGTAAATGGGTTCAAGTTGTCCATACAGTCCCAGAGGAACTTGGGATGCATAAGATGTATGCAAATGCAATATCAGTTGCCGAAAAGAAGCATCAAACAGAGGTTGAACTTTGTCAATTGGCTGATTTCGTTGTCTCTGTTGGTTCAAAGTTGAACGAAGCTTTTCGCTGTTATCTTTCGTCGTGTCACGAGGACGAAATGTTCTTCAACTTCACTCCCGGAATTTTCCCAGAGTTTTCTAACGTTAAACAGGCTTATAATACGACAAGAAGATTTCGAGTACTTCTTTTTGGTCGCGGAGACGCAGAAGATTTTGAAGTAAAAGGGTTTGATATTGCAGCCAAAGCAGTGGCTGCATTAAGTGACGTTTATCTTGTTTTTGTTGGTGTACCAGAAGGAGAGCATGAGAAGGTCAAAGAACGTTTCCTAGAATGTGGTATTCAAGAAAATAAGTTAACTATCAGGAGCTATGTGCGAGACCGGGAAAGTTTAAAACGCCAATTTTGTGAAGTTGATCTTGCTATCATGCCTTCAAGAACGGAAGGTTTCGGATTAACGGGGCTTGAGGCTCTATCTGCCGGTCTGCCTGTCCTGGTTTGTGGAAACTCGGGCTTTGGAGAAGCTCTAAGTAAAGTTCCGTTTGGATCGTATTTTGTCGTTAACTCAGACGATCACCAAATCTGGGCGAATGCAATAAAGGGCTTGCAGGACAAAGACAGGAATGAACGGCTGAAAGAGTGTGAAGCATTGCGATCTTCGTACTCAAATAAGTACAGTTGGGAAGTACAGAGTGAAGAACTTGTTGTAAGGATGATCAGTGTAGTTGAAGGTAAGAACTTTAATAAAGCCGCCTCTCATCGCTCACGTTTCACAAGAGAGACGTCAGCCACAATATGAGAGAGATTGTCAATGTTAAAACTGATATCAACACTGAAGAAAGGAAAAAAGTCAATTTCACAGTGTTCGTTGGTC